AGAAGACCTACAGACGGTCTGCGTGGACATACCGCCCTCAATCTTGAACGGCGAGGACGATAAGAAGCAGTAATAGATGTAGTTCTCAATAAGATTATATGTAGTCAATGAACTGATCTTTGTTGGAATTTATTTTGGCATGCAGGTGAATGAAAAGAAAACTATGTACAAGATAACGTGGAACCGCAATGACCAGCGATTGTGAAGTGTAGAAATGGAGAGAGTGCAGGGGTGTACCGTTGGAAGCATGAGTTCGGCCGTCTTGAACCTAGTCCAGGTCCATATCCATGATCCCCTCTTCTAGTTCATCTAGCCGCGAATCATCCTTGTCCGCCCAACTTTGTGAAACATATGGTTCGTCACTGTCATCCAGCTCCTCAATACGCGCCGACGATATCTGCGAATCATCCTCCTCCTGCGAACTCAAGAGTGTTGGTGGTGGACGACGATACAGCACCAGCTCGTTGCCCTGCGTATTATGCAAGGTTGGCGCATTTGTGTGCGGTTCCATCCACCGCTGTCTAAGCAATGCGTCGACTCCATCTGCAAGCGTCATGGATTTAGGACCCTCGTATCGGATCAAAGCGCCGAGCTCAGCTCGAGGCATCTTTGGACTCATCTTGATCGAACCTTCATCCTCGGCCATCCAGGTATCTTGACCCATCTGCCACTGATCATCCCGATACTTGTCCTTGGACTTTTCCTTCTTAAACTCGTGGCCGTTCAGATGTAGGTTAGAAACCGTGGATCCAGTACGGCGTATGCTGTTCCTGTTCTCGCTGCTGCTGTGACCGATGTCGTTCTTTTGATGGGTATCTGTGCGCAAACGCTTCGCAGGGGAGGGCAATGCTGGTGCATGATCCATGACTGGTCGTAGCGATCCATCCTCCATGACATCATAGACCTCTCGTAACGATTCCGTCGATGAGCCATTTTCAGTCGCTTTTGGACGCCGCCGCTTGTGTTCGTTCTCTCCGAGGTTCAGGGCCACCAGTTCTTCGCCTGACGATAAATCAATGATACTGGGGCCATCGGATATCTGTTGTGGGACGAAACCAATTGTGGATTTCTGCTTTGGGGGCAGTGCCAGTCTCGATTCAGTATTGATGCTGTTGTTGGTGCTCGAGAGGGTAGGAGCGGCTGTTGATCGTCTGGGTTTTTTGCCGGGTCGTGGTCTGGCAAAAGGGGAAGCTGGCTCCTCCAGTGAGGCGTCTAGTGCTGCAATGAACTCGGGCTCAAAGTGGAAGGATCGTTTCCGCCGACCAGAATGATCCATTTGGGGCTGGTGTTGGTGCTGTTGCTCGGCCTCCTGCTCAAGCCAGGATTGGTGTTGGCTGTGCAGGTGTTGACCCCACTGCTGCTTGTGTTGCTGGTGCAGCTGCTCGTGCTGTTCGTGTGCCTGTGAAGTTGTGTACATGTGGTGGTTCCTCTCTTTGTATCGAGAGGGTGGAGCGCGAGCTGAGGGAGGTTATGAAAGATGCGTGGACAGAGGGGATTTCAAGAGCCGGTTTGAATTAATTTTTTCGTCAACGGTTTTATGTCCATCGCCAGGAAAGAACCACACCGAATCTGCTCGAAGCTCCAGGAAAGAAATCCCACGTGATAAAAATTGGGCGTAGCCGGCACCCGGATCAATTGAATCCATTGAGCTGACAGTCCAAGCCAAGACTTGGACAATGCAGCCTGTGGCACGCCTGCACGCCTGAGGGGATCTGGCGTCAATAAAGAAAAAGAATCCATTGGCACAGCAACTTTTTTCCCGAGGCTGATTTTATTTTTATTACTATTATTAGTATTACTATTGGCCATTATTATTGTTTTATTTACAGGCACTCTGCCATGAGCTGGCTGGCAATGCTCCTGAGTTTACACCGGGCCCTCACGAACGACCAATTGGGCCAACTCTACCTCCAGATCATCCTCGGTTCGTTGACCTGCCTGCAAATGCTGCTGATCTCCAAACTCCTGACCAAGCTCCTGATCCTGACCCCAACCTTGTCTCTCTAGCATCTGCAGCTGTTGAACCCTCTCAAGCTCAAGCTGCAGTTGCTGCTGGAACTGGATCGATTGCTCCAAACACTCGACATAAATCTGATATTTGACCATCTCCTTCAACAAGTACCGTGAACGCCTCTCCCAGTTGTTGAATGCCTTAGCGTAGTTGTTCGACTTTGGTGGGAACTAGAACAAATAGGATGGAATGCAATAAAGATTAAATATCACAGAAAATAGAACTATCGCTCAAAACGTATGAAAAACGGAATTGGCAAGGGATTTTACCAAGCGAGTCATGGGAGTGCGGTATTCCTGGTGTGCTTCCATATCTGCCTCGAGTCCGGCAACATATTTACGCAATGCAAGCATCTGCTCCTCCTCCGTCACCGCGCTCACAGTCATAGTTGGCACGGGTGCTGACCATTCAAACAGCGTAATGCTATCACCCAATGAAGTGCCACCTCCACTTCCACCACTTACTGCGACACCGCCAGTGCTAGAGGAAAATGATCCGCGAGTTCCAGATCGAATCGACGGACTCCGACCGCGTCCCAGAGATGCAGTATCTCCAAAAGAGCTCCCTGATCTGAATGAGGACCCGCCATTCATATCTCCGAACACATCTGGCGGCCCGCTCAAATAGTCCATTCCGAGTTTCATACCCGCTGAAGGATCCATCCTTATGCTCGCGGCACCTGTGCCGCCTCTTGTGTGAGAAGAGCTTTGTGAGGTATCTGATGACGGTGTCGCTCGACCTCCTTCAGGAGCCTGCTGCTGCTGTTCCTCCTCATGTCGAGCCAATGTTTCCAAGGCTCGTCCCCAGCCGTACTCCATGTTGACAACGCCTCCAACGAGCGGCTCTTTGCTAGTCCTAGCAGCCCAGTAGTTGCAGGTTCGTGTCCAAGCCTCGCACTCTTGTGGAGTGGATGTTTGAAAAAGGTATACGGCTCCAGTGTGTAGCTGAACCGCAAAGACATGTCGCCTCGATGACGAATACCCCGGGGGTGGGAGAATGTTGGTGATCGTGTGCTGCAAAAGAATCTCGTCAAACAACGGCACATCCGCTTCGACATCTCCAAGGGGCGAGGGTGAAGACATTGACAAAGAGTTTGATCGCCGCTGTCGTCCATAGGATGGTGGTGGGAGCTTTGGTATATTGCTATCTGAGCGGAACATCGACAGCGTCCCTTGATCCGTATCGACCACTACTAGCAGCTGACGCCAGGCACGGTGTTGAGCCTTCTTGTCGGTTCTTTCCAATAGATGCTTGCGCCAGAGAATACCCTCCATTCGGTAGCGCGCTTCGATGTGCTGTTGATGCAGCTGGCTCTTCTGTAGGCGTGCGTAATCCTCCTGTTGCTGATCTGCGGAGTGATGCTTCTTGTGTGGTTGCTGATGGTCCTCCTGACTTGATGGAGTAGTGGTAGCATGAGATTGCAGGGATATGAGACTGTTCTGAGATGCCGAGGGCGTGGTTATAGAAGTGGATGTTGATATGCCAGTCTGGGAAGTTGCCATTGTCAATGAGGATAGCCGACTTGAAGAGCTGTGCTGGCTTTGACCCAAGCCTAGGTCCCGCTCCCGGTTATTGTTACTGTTTGCCAGATCAAGAAGGTAGGAGTCGCTCATGAATGGGCCCACCATACTGAGTCGATGGTTGGCGTTAGTGGACGCTGATGATGGGGCTGAGACAAAAAGGCGGTCGCTGTCGACTCCCGACTGCTGCGCATGAGCTTGAGCGTTCAGTCGCTGGATGGCATCGCTCCTGAGCTGTTTTGTACGTGCGCTCACAGAGCTCCGTCTGCCAGAGAGCCCCAAACCAAACCCTCCACCGGAATCCTGCAGTGCTGGTGAAGACGAGGATGGGTATATGAGCCGACTCATCCGATTAGATGAAAAGATAGATGAGCCAAATCCAGAGATCGTTGGTGAGGTCGGTGGCGAGGATAGTGATACAATTGATTTCGATCTGGGAGGGCTCAACGTCGCCGGAGATAACGGCAGTAGGATCTGATGCTGCTTCACTGCCGTGTAGATGTCCTTTAGCATGCCCTCCACTTCCTGAAGCCAAAGCTTGCCGTTTCCATAACCTCCATTAGCCTTGGCATCCGTGCCCTTCTTGTTGCTGAATTGTTGGTGATGATGGCCATTAAAGGCCTGTCCAGAACCAGTGGCTTGGTGACTCTGTCCGCTTTTCCAGCTCCTGATGCTCGGTGTCGGTTTCTTGGAGGATATTGACGACCCACCTCCCTCGGGAAGCGACTCTCCTGTCACGGACCGTTGGAGCCCTAGACTTTCAAAACTGTCCTCTCCATGGCAACTTTGACTCTGCGATGCTTGAGACTGCACAGTGTGGAGCGTATTCTTGACGAATGCCGACCGTGACATTTTGCTGGATTGTTGAACGATATGCAGGTCTGTGTTGAGTAAGAGGATCGAGTACGTGATCGCGTGGACGATATCTTTAGCGTTATCAGCTCCACCTAGCAGTGACTTTGGGTTGCAGGTCACATATCGTTCGGCAAACACCTCCAAGATGCGATCCACTTCCTGCGTCTCACCCTTGAGGACCAGCTTCTGACAGAGTGCTCTAAAGGCCATGTCCAACCGCTTGCTCGTGAAATTGAAGCAGTCCATGTAGTGCGTGAGGACCAGTCGATTGAATGATTTCGGTGCCCCGAGGTACTCCGCAATCTCACTTCGTTTCAAAAATCCCTCGTCCTCATCATAGCACCTCTTTGCTGTACGAAGCGCCAACGCTGCGGTCGCATCCTGTTGTTCCTCCTGGGACATGTCGGGGGTCAATAGTGCCATGGTCGAGTTAGAGGCGAGAGGATGATTGTTGGCGTCTTCAGGTCCCACACAGATGGTAATTGGCCGCAGCGCTGCGGATCGAGGCCCTTCTTTGCTGCGCCTTCCATATTCTCGAGGAGTAAGTATTGGCGATGATGGTGTTGCCGCCATGGAGCTTGACGGAGTAGCTGCTGTATGTGTACTCAGACCATGGGCATGATTTGCCTCAGCGCTGCCTCCCAAGGCCCTTGCCTCTTCATCATCCCTCTCTGCTGCAGTAATCGTCGAGGGTACAAACATCGATACTGGTCTTCGCGGTATTTGTCTGCCGTCGGGATACTCCATAGGACTTTTTGGAAGCCCTGGGGATGAAGGGTTCGAGGCTGAAGTGGTCAAGGGGACCAAATGGAGATTTCCAATACTGTATTGTGAGAATCGGATTGAATTGCCCCGAGAGAGCCCCAGACTGTATCCAAGAGCGTCCTGAGCAAGCGAAGTCCTCCTGGAAGCAGCTTCCTCACTGTCTGATAGATTAGATTTTGTTGAATAGTACAGCGATGTTTGCGACTGATTCAAATGCATCGAGCCAGCCTCATAGAGCTTTGACAATCGATTTGAGATGCTGATCGGCAGATCCTCGTCTTCGTCCTCATCCACGTCCTCCTCCTCATCGTCATCCAGATCATTTGGTCCCCTCGATCGCCGGCGATCCAGCTGAGCGCGCTCCTGCGAAAGTGCAGCAAGACTGGCTGAGAGCGCAGCCGGTGAGAAACCTGGATCTGTGTCGTTGAGCCAGGATTCTACATTTGAGCCCTCTACGGCCTGATTTTGCTTTACCTGGCTGCCGAGTGGTGGCAATGACGAGTCCAAGGAGGTGAAACGATACTCCAACTCCTGTCCGAGCAGAGGCGAAAGCGGCGGTGGAGTATCGAGGGGTCCAATGAGACCCGAATGTAAGATCGAGGGTTGAGAGAACATGTCATGAGAATTTGTCGATTTAGTCGAGAGTGGTGGCGACTTGATAGAGGAGGCATTGTTGGACGCTGGAACAACGGGTATTGGCGGAGCATCCTTGTCGTCAAAGCTCTATTGACCATTTGCCATTCATATCGTAAAAAAGGAAGACAACGGATAAACATTCTCATTCTACGAGAATTGGTCTTTGCAGTTGGCAGACAGTTTTCTCTGCCGTGTTCTATACCTTGACAAACTTCTTGAGAAAATTGCTGCTACTCTTCTTAACGATCCTGCTAATATTACCAGCGGTGTTCTATATATAATCACATACGTAGAAATACGTGATGCAAAAGTCAAATGTTATTTCATTTCTTCAATGCGCTTAATGCTGATTGTGTCCCATGCGAAAAGGTGCTGTGCTCTCATGCTTCAAATGCAAAACAAATTAACCCCCTGGTCTGGTTCACACAGACACGACCATTTTCGGATCCTCCTTTACCTTGAGTCCTCCTGTGCTCTCGCTCCGCTTCCGTCGTTGGTGGAATGAGGAATTAGAGCTGTCTACACTGCCGACCGAGGGTTCCCCAGATCCTTGAGTCTGAGTCAGTGCTGCAGAAGCCGAAACCGTAGTAATCGAGGAGGAGGAGAGATCGTCGGGGGTGCTGTCGTTGTTGTTGCCGGCGGCATTGCCAAGATTGGGCGTACTGGATGCAGACTTGCTTCCACCCCAGAAACCGAACGAATTCCTGCTACTATGAGCCGCTGGTGATGATGGTGGCATGAGCGATCGGTTCTGGGAGAGTGAAGTTGGCGGTGAGTCTGGTCCGCCTAGTGAGCCATCGAGCTTTGTGATAGAAAAGACTAGCGTGGACTGCCTCCTCCGCTGATACGCTAACGGGAGATTTTCAGAGCATCCATCCACGGATACCGGGGTGGGTTAGTGTGTTTGATCTAGGCCATCATCCTAAAAATGAACATATATCCAATTGAATGCACCGAGGTACAGCTCGGTGAATCAGACCATTGAAGGGAGAAGAGAAGGAGGGGCAGGCGGTGGAAGTAAGGAATGACATTAACCTCAAGGGAAAGAATTGTAGCAAGGAGGTTTGGGAGAAGTAAGCGAGGTGCAATCGAGAGGGAAAAGGGGACAGATCGAGCGCCTCGAAACCAGCCAGGTAGCCAGGAGGGATACCCCAGAAGCAATACATTCCCCGCGGCGGTCCTGGGAGAGCAAAGAAGGGAATAAAATACAGATGCAAACAATGGGTGCGGTTTTACGCCAATCGATCGTATCAGTTGCTGACCCCACTTGCAGTGTTAGAAAAAAAAATGCGGTCGCCACCAATAAGCGTCTGCTGGTTGAGCAATTGACGTGCGGGGAGGGGTATAGTCCAGGTACAAATTGCTCTGCTTCTTTTTTTTCTGCTGGTTGTGGTTGGGTTTATGGTGTGAGTGGTGTGATAATGCGCTCTCTTTTGGAGTGTGCTGAAATGTCGAAAGACTGAATGAGAAGCTAAAAAAAAAAAAAGACGGGAAGTGAACGAGGATGAAGAGTGGTAACTCACAATTATCCTGCAGTGTTTCTGGGGAATGATGCATCGTTGTAAAGAGACAGGGTGTGTGTGTCTGATGTTGGAAGCCAAAGATGTAATTATGAAAGATGAGGAGCGTGCAAGCTGTAGTCTTTTTTTTTCCTGCTCGGTTGTGCCAAAGTGGTATGGTTGGATGGAGGTCGTCCTTTGTTTAACAAAAAGGGTATGGGCGGGCTCAGGTCATGGACTCGATGGCGGATACGGAGGAAAGCGTGGGATGCCGATGTGGAAGCGCAAGGAGAGCGGAGGGATGGCGGGATGCGAAGAGTGATGCGAAGAGTAATGCGAAAGCAGAGAAGAAGGTGCAAAAGAATAGTGAAAAATAGCTCGGCTGGAGTCCAGAGGGTGCACCACTGAACTTGAACTCTCTTCATACGGCCTCTCGTTCCTGGACAAGTGGGACCAGACTTTTTTTTTTTTTATTGACGCCAGATCCCCCCAGGCGTGCAGGCGTGCCACACACAAGTGGGACCAGACGAGCGGGACGATGGGGCCTGCAGATGGTCCTGTGACGTTGGGAGGTCCTGGCTCACACCGCTCTTTCGTTCTTGTCCCTCCTCCTCTGGGTGCATCGCTATACTCGGCGGCTCTTTCAGCTCGCTTGGATATCGGCCACCGCTGGCACCACCACTCAATCGATGAGGGGCTGCCCATCCAACAACTATTGCGCGATGATTGTCGCACACTTCAACGGCCCATTAGCCTCGGTGACGCGCGCTATAACAGGAACTACTGACAAAATTGCAAATTGCATCACCATGTTCGCAGCTGTCGGCTGTAAATTGCCCTTTCCAATGCTAGCAGGGGCAAACCGAGACGGAGGACCTGTTCAATCAGGCCATTGCTCCGTCTGCTTTCGTCCTGGGAATACATATTCAGGAAGCAGATGTATAAATAAATGGAATCAATCCTGCTCTTGTTGCAAAATGAAAAAAAAAAAAAAAAAAAAAAAAAAAACCTGCAGCATACATACATGCATGAACAAAACGATTCATAAAACGTGAAGGAGCATAAGAGCGTTTCGTATTGATAAACGCGATCACCAAAGCCTTCACCCATCCACGTTGGTCTTATACTGGTCGATGTGAACAAGTACAGTCAAATGAGCGTATCTTGCCCCACACTGAGTCAAACTGAAGACGCGTCCAATGACTCCACTTTTTTTTTCTTCAGCGCACCCACAACCATGGCTGCGACGTCCGGCCCCCACTCTACTTTATACCGCCGGAGGTAACCTTAATAATGAAAATAACAAATGAAAAGTGAGTGCCATGGTATATTCGCTTTAGCATGCCCATCGCTATATAATGACTAACACAGGTATGAGTATGGATGGGGGAGGTCATTTGCTGTGCAGTGCCACAGAAGGGGTGCCAGATTGGCGTCTTTGGTTGCCATTAATCGAGGTACGTGGTACTTGAAGACTGAAGCCCCTCATTGTATCGCTGTTACAGTTAGCTGCGATTGAAAATAAGATGTCTCTGTGTTGCTCTAAGCAGATAAGATAGCTAGGTGAATTTCGGCCCAGAGCTGATGTCAGTCAGGAACGAGGAACTGCTGCAGTCAGGGCGGCAGTAGTGGTGTCGATGGCACACATGGAGCGTCCAAGGGCTATACATAGTTCTTCAGAGGCGGTATTACAGTGCGAATGAAAAGAAGAGACCGAACGCGAGGATCGGTCGCAGCAGTGCGGTGCAGATGGACGAAATCCCCGCCGTGGCTGTCTCCCCTTTTTCCACCTCCCACCTCGCTTATCTTTTCGCCTTGACCTGACTGGGATCTGCCTTTGGATCGAATCTCCAATCTCCATTCTTTATTGCTTCTCTTCTTCATTCTCCCCTGTTCCTTCTCCTTTTCCTTCTCTCTACCCCGCTCTTCGGTCATATTTGCATAACAATGTCCTTTATGAGAGGTAAACAACAACAGCAACACACACGCAACACATAGTGTTCGATATGGATCGCCCCAGTTTACAAGGACAGACCCAGTAGGACCAGTGGCTACAACATCAACAATAACAACAACAAGGACAATAAGGACACCTCTGACAACTACGTACCCGATCTCCTCTCTTTGTCCCCTCATTGTCCGTTGGCTGATCTCATAAAGCCCTCGTGTGTGTTTATTGACAAGGGCGCGAATCTCACCTCGCTCTGGTAGTGGTATTACACCCAGAATATACGCACGCAGTTGCGACAGTTTTCAGGGCGCCTTTCAAGGAGCATCACTCATTCAGAGGCCATATTGTTGAGTCCTCTTAGCGATAGGGACGTCTTCATAACAGGCTAGTGAGCAGCGGGCCGACGAGAGGAGACCGATCCGCATAATTATTCTCCGTGAACCTTGCTGGCACTGATGAATACGGCTCTTCCAAAATACACACACGTAGTTGCGGATGTGGATGTGGATGTGGTTGTATCCGTTATCAGTACTATCGGCATTAACTGACAGATCACCTTCTCTTTTCTCCATTGCTGTGTATGTCTACGATGTGTGCGTGCGCCATTACGACGGTCGGTCCTTTATAAACAAATGACATGTCTGCGGTATAATCGGCGTCTTGATCGACCCAACCAACGCTTTAGCCGCCCAATTGGCACGTGTTGCCCCTACTCCAAGGATCATGGTGCCCCGCTCGCGGATCAGTGCACGCTTCAACTCGACCAATACCGGCGCCACCATGGCCACTGCTGGAAAGAATGTCGCTCCTCCAGTAGCATCCGCTCCTCAGCCCCAGAAGCGTTGGTCCCGTCTGCGTGCCCTGAAGCGCGTTGTTCAGCTCGGAGCAGTCGGAGCCGTTGGATATGGTGCCTATGGTAAGGCAGATGCAATATTTAGGCAGCTGTTTCTTAAGTACAGAAAGTTTAGGACAATTGAGGCTTGACAGAAGCTGACATAATGATCTCATCTCTTTGTAGACATCTACAACAAGCGTCACCCTGCTGAGCAAAAACCCTTTGATCCAACAAAGCGCACTATTGTTCTTTTGGGAAGCGGTTGGGGTGCCATTTCTTTCTTGAAGAGTCTGAACACGGACGACTACAATGTGGTATGTGGAGACGCGGTTTTGTTTCGTTGCCTGGAGCCTTTTTTGCCACCAAGATCTTCGTGGTTGTGATCCCTAGTTTTCTCACGGTTGACTTTAATTCTCTTTCTAGATCGTCGTGTCGCCCCGCAACTATTTCTTGTTCACGCCCTTGTTGCCCAGCTGCACTGTCGGAACGATCGAACTTCGCTCGATCATGGAACCTCTTCGTTTTATCACGCGTCACAAGAGCCGCAATGTCAAGTTCTATGAGAGTGAATGTACCGATATTGATCCCGAGAGCAAGACCATCAGCATCGCAGGTATACTCGAGATGCCAATAACTCCTTTGTTCATGGATGTATTCTTGTTTATATAGATTACTGAATCATCAATTCTTTTTTGCTCAATCACTAGATGTGTCAGATATCAAGGGGGCTGTATCCAACACTACGATCCCTTATGACTACCTTGTGGTGGCCGTTGGTGCCGATAACCAGACATTCGGCATGGCTGGTGTCAGGGAATACGCCTGCTTCTTGAAGGAGGTCTGGGATGCCCAAAAGATTCGCACCCGTCTCATGGACTGTGTCGAGTCTGCAGGATTCGCTTCGCAGACGCCCGAGGAGGTCGAGCGCTTGCTGCACATGGTTGTCGTTGGAGGAGGACCCACTGGTGTGGAGTACGCTGCAGAGTTGCACGATTTCTTGAAGGATGACCTCGAGGTCTGGTACCCCGAATTGGCAGACAAGCTCAAGATCACTCTGGTGGAGGCTCTGCCTAACGTCCTGCCCATGTTCTCGTCTCAGCTGATCCAGTACACCGAGAGTACATTCAAGCAGAACAAGATCGAGGTCCTGACAAAGACTATGGTCAAGGAGGTCGCCGACAAGGAGATTAAGGTCATGGACGCCAACAAGAACATGGTCTCGATTCCATACGGCCTGCTTGTTTGGGCCACTGGAAACTGCCCACGCCCATTGGCCCGTAAGTTGATGGCGCGTCTCAAGGAGGGCGGTCAGAACTCGCCCCGCGGATTGCTCATTGACGAGTACATGCGCGTTAAGGGAGCTCAGGACATGTACGCTATTGGTGACTGCGCCTTCACCAAGTATGCACCCACAGCCCAGGTCGCTACTCAGCAGGGCAAGTACTTGTCGAGGGTCTTTGATGGTCTGGCTAGGATAGAGGAGGGCCAAAACAAGAAGATCCATCCCTTTGAGTACACCCATCAGGGATCGCTTGCGTACATTGGATCGGACAGGGCCGTTGCCGACTTGCCCTTCCTGAACGGAAATGTGTCTGTCGGAGGCGTTGCGACCTATGTCTTCTGGCGCTCTGTCTACATCTCCCACATGTTCAGCTTCAGGAACAGGTTTTTGGTCATTGGAGACTGGATGAAATCCAAGGTCTTTGGTCGCGATGTCTCTCGCGAGTAAAGAAACAAGAGACAAAAAAAAAAAAAAAAAAAAAAAAAAAGGGAACTCTGATCCCGAGAACTAAAGCAAGGGGATCGTTGCGGCAGATAGAAACGAATAACCCGACCAGCTCCACTCAATCCCTCACGCACTACACATGCATCTTTTTAATGAAAACCCAAAAAAGCATTTCGTACATAAACATTACCATTTCTTCTCTTTTTTTATTTCATTCTGGACGTGTTCTCATGCTTTATTGTCAGCTGGCAGAAGTCCCAGCTCTTTCTTCCTGGCGACAACCACCTTTTCGAGCAGCGTCTTGCCACGGAAATCGCCCAGAATAGACATGGGCGCACCGAATGCGTTCGTCACGTACGAGAAGCCGATTCCGAGCTCTTCGATCCACACAACCAACGACCCTCCAGCGCCGCCCCAGCCCTGAACTTCGACGCCCGTCAGAGGGCCATCGCGGAAAAAGTTGCGGCTTTTGACCCAGCCTCCGCGAGAGAGGGGCAAAGACTCAAAGGTGATTGCACAGGGTCGAGTTGAGTGATAAGAGGTCGCTTCAGCATAGGTCTCGGGAGATATCAGATCGGGCTCCTGACCAGGATGGATGGATGCGCCTTTGTTGGCCATCATGGACACGAGTTTAGCCAGCTATCAGGGCAGAGGAGGCACAGTTAGAAATGAACATCCATAATAATGTATTATACTCACTCAAAGGTGCGCACAAAATATCAAGATAAAGAAAATCTCACTTACTGAATGGGCGTTGGTCTTGAGCGAAAAACTGGTACTCTCGGTGGTATGCGCCTTCTTTGTCCTGAAACTGCTGGCAAAGGGCGCCATTCTAGGTGTCAATGCCTTTGAAGACAGGCTCCACTTCTGAATCAGCTGCCATACCAATGGGTGCAATGGCGGCAAGTCCGGATAACCGATCCATTTGTTTGTCTGAACAGACCGTGGCAACAACAGTCGTCCGATGATCCGCAAAACAGGATAGTCAAACATAGGTGCCAGTCGGTCCTCCCAATCACGATCGTTCTCAAACAAGCTGTAATGCAGCTCCACATCGGTGTAGTCCCCCATGAGCTCCTCCCTTGCGATCTGACCGATCGTCCGTCCCTGTGGGTCGACCCTGCGCACAATCTCGTTCAGATACCAGCCTCGACTCACGGCATGATAGGCTCTCGCGACCTGCCCTCCGAAATAGTGCTTCTGCTTAGCCAGCTTCTCCGAGAATTCTTCACGATCGGCCAGGGTCTCCCAGGTGAAGTTCCGGCCAGGATCGTCCACATGAAAGACTCCAGACTCGTGGACCATCACATCAACCAGGCGAACATCCTGCTTTCCGTTCTGTGCAAACTCTGGCCAGTAGTCCGCAACCCTTTTCGAGTAGTCCAACAATCCCTTTTGGACAAGTCTTGCGATTACGATGCCCTCAACGACTTTGCCGGAGGAATAGACCTGTTGGAGGGTCTGGTTTGCATATGGGATGGTGCCCTCCAGATCTTTGGTTCCCGCAAAGAGGTCGATGACGGGCTCACCTTCCACAAAGACTGCGAAGGAGCCGCCGAGGTCCTCGTGGGTGGCGAATAGTCGGGTATAGTAGCTAATAACGGGTGCATAGAACTCTGAACGATCGAGAATGCCCTCGAGATGGAAGTTGGAGAGGTTATTGCAGCTGCGATTGAAAGTTAGGCAGGCGACAGACTGGAAGGGACCCTTAGTGGAGTAGACGTAGAAGGCAAATATGATGGCTGGTAAGAGATGGAGGAACCATTGGAAGGGCGACAGGCGAGGGAGGGAGAAGGAGGATGGTGGAGAGGTGGTACCACCACGGGCCTGGGTCTGCTTGGAGGCGGTCATTCGTTCTTGCGGAGATGTCTATGCGGCTGTTGCTCGGTTGCGGGAGTAAAGACGAGAAGCGGAGAAAGGAGAGACAGAGGCAGCCGAGAGGGGAATAGGGCTCCCTGCATCCTTTTTATACCGGGAAAGCAGTTTAAGAGGAATACGGTCTCCACGTTGGGGTCAGGTTAGAGCAAGGAAATAAATAAAAAGAGGGGGGATCGTGTCACCATCCGAGGTAGTCCAGTGAGCCATGCAGTTTTCCGTCGCTGCAGCTGTATGGATTGTATGGGGAGCTCGAAGTGCCTCCCATTGGACGGACACGTTCCCGTCCTCGGCTCAATTGGCAGACGGTCTTTCGATCTGCTTGGCCACTCCTACCTGTTTACGTACGCTCTCGTTCTCACCCTCCTCTTCGTCCTTGCCCTTTTCTATATCACTTCAGTACAAGCACAGATGGAGAGAGCAAACTATCACTGGGTCACTCCCTGGCACAACATAGCACCCAGACACAGCACAGCATCCCAGGTACAGTCTGGGATCTGCATTGGCCATGCGATTGCCATATATGGGCAATACGTGCTGAGTAATGAAAAAAACGGGCGGACTCTGCGCAATGATGTCCTTTTGTGCTTGTGTGCCCGTGTGCCTGCGCCCACTGGATCTGCACGCATGAGTTGTGGATATGAACGTAATGGACATGAATTTCTTTCTTGCCACATGCCAAAAACGTCCATGATTGCACACGGTTAATGCACACGTATCCACACTGCCTCCCATTTGTATCTGTGAAAGGTTTTCTGACCCCTCCGCACATGTGCATTACACAAATGACGCGAACAAGAAAAACCCTATTAAACGGTTTACGGGCCGATCATTAGATGATTTGCAAATTAGACTACATGTACCGGCCAACCGAGGGGGCTCCTTTCTTCTTTGTTCTCGTCCATGGGCTCTGTAAATTGTGGAGTGGCACGATTTTTTTTTTTTACTCGCACCTGCATTCACCCACAGTACCCTTTTCCATCGTATTGCATGCGCCTCCCTCCATGCATTCAACGTGTGTATTGATTAGCTGTTCGCGCTATTTTTTCTATCTTGGATCAAATAAAAGCATGATGCAAATGCAACTGCTCGTTTGTATACATTACGATAGCGATGTCGTTGTGGATGATGGTCCTTTTTTTTTTTGGTTGTCTTGACCTGGGTCCTCCCTATACTGTATTTTAATTGCTATCGGGTCTTGCCAAGAAGCACATGCAAAATGGAATTCGTCGACAACTATACCCCCAACGCGCGTGAACGCTATCTTTGAAAGTACATTTCACATACACGCGTCTGATAATGAAAAGCGCGCCACAGTGATGTATGCACTAAAATTGTACGTGGCGTTGAATTTGCACTATAACCTGTGTTTACCAGTGGAAGTACCATAACAACGCATCTTCTCGCACCTTCTTGCATCCTTTCGCAATACCAGTGAAGGAAAAAAAATCCAAGAAGCATTGCCAGATGCGGATTTCTATTCTGATGCAACTCAATGCTGTGGGCCTTATCATAAGATGTATGTATCCTCATGAAACAAAGTGCCAAAAGTCCGCTGTCCGTTGTCACTGCTGGAAAGACCGTATATATTTAAAAAATGCTAAGAAGCGGTCGGAGGAATAGGCTACCTGGATTCTTTCTGGAGGAGAAGGAGGCAGGGTGCGATGTTGCTACGCATGGATAAGGAATCTGCCACAAATCACAAACCTGAAGAGCTCCAATGTTTCTCTCCATTGCGGAGGTAATTGGCCACATGTATCGCACGGACGCACCTTTCTAAGTAAAGAGAACAGGGTGTCGCGTAGCACAGCATTAGTCTACCTGCAGAATAGCATTAGTCTACCTGCAGAATAGCATTCGTCCGGACTGTGCGAGTAGGGAATGCACGCCCAATGCTGTTGATTGGTTCTTCTTCCTTGCCTGGTTTTTTTTTCTCACACTTCCAAATCAACTCAAAATCTGATTAAGAAAGCTGCCGACTCTGGCGCTGACAAACCTCGGTCTCGAACGGTAGCCTACGAAAGTTACCCTGAAGTAAATGCGAGGGTGCGCTATACTGCTCTGGCCTCCAGATAAGGACAGAAGAATCAGATGAATGAGCAACTTGGAGCGATTGCTTCCTTTCTGCGGCCTTGGATTCTTACGAGTGCTCTTTTACTCTTCGCCGAAAGGGGACGATACTATCAATTATTGGAGATCAATGCGCAGATATACTGGAAAAGGTATCATTTTAAAGCGACCTCACCCAGAGACGCGTCTGAACTCATGTTTCCCCTATGGTGCTGTCTGCAGTTCACTGATATCAATGGGAACAAAGCAAAAAAAAAAAAAAAAAAAAAAAAAAGAGAGATCCTACGCCGAGATGCAGGAATATGTATAAGACGGCGTAGGGATATTTGAGTGCTCCTGCTTTTCTTGCTTGCTTCATTCTCTACATATTTGATTTCTAGGGCTCGATCAAGATCTTGCCCTCGTCGATAAAGGACTGAATCGCAAACTTCCATACGGTCGACATGTTCTTGTAAAACTCCTGGAACTCGATCGTATTCGACTTGTCGCTGTCGTGTTCCTAAGGGCGAATATAGGGAGAAGGACCCAAGAGTGGAATGAGTACAAAATCAATTTAATGTACCATGCAAATCAAGGAAAAGGAGGAGGAAATGATTTTTTCTTTTTGTTACCTTTAAATAGGCTGCAGCTTCGTTGTGAGGCAGGCCCCACGAGACCAACAGGTGCTCAAGTTCCGCCACGTCCAATGTTCCGGAGCTGTCCGAGTCCAGGGCATCAAAGACCAACTTAGCTTGGCCACGTGGGGTCTTGGGCATTGTCGGGACGCTGATCGGGCTGGAATGAATCCAGTTCTTGGTGAACCAGGCACAGAAATCGTCAAATTTCACAATCTCACGGTCTGCGAAGAGCGCATCAAGCATCAGCTTGCCCTCCATGTCAATATCTGAAATCCCGCAGGCTAGTAAAAAGTCCCTGAATTCTGCGACGCTCAACTCGTTGTCATGGTCGACATCAATTGCCTTGAAGACGGTCATGGCCTTGGCACGAGGCGTAGTGTTGCGTACACTAGCGCCCATCACCTTGGAACAGATGCTTGCATAGCGATCCTTGGGTTCTTGAATCGACAGAGCATCAACTGCATTGGCCACCTCGGCAGCGGTGATGAGGGCGTCCAGTACCATCTTCTTTTCAGGTGAAGATGCAAACTCACGAGGGTGCTCTGTCGTCCACGAAACCCAGAAGTCAGCGTCCTTGGTCATGCGAAGGATTATGTCGGCGGTCACGACGCCAGACAACAATATAATGTTGCCGTGCAGTCCGAGAACGGAGGGAATGAGCAACATGCCGCTGGTCAACATGGCCGCCGAGAAACGGTGGTTCGCGAATAAATTGAAGCGGTAGTACAGTGCGAAGAAGACACGGGACCAGGCATAGATGTGCACGGTCATGTAGGTTGACAGGAGGTAATAGAACGACGTGGGGTTCATAACCAGGTTGATCGCAAAGTATCCGTGGAGGGCCGTGACTATCGCCAACGATGGCACCAGGAAGGCCTTGATCCCTAGGACCGTGGGGATCTGATAGAATGTCGAGGGAACGTGAGAAAGGACCGCAAAGAATGCCGCCGCATACGCCCAATTAGTAGGATCCTCTGCGTAGAACGCTCCAATACAGGCCAGAACTAGAAAAAATTGCATCAGCTCCACAATAGTTAGCATGGAGTAGTTCTTGCAGTATCCGGACCATGATCTGGTGTTTTTTTCACATTGCACCTACTCTCGAGACAACCGCTCAAAATATGAAGGCGAAGGGCGCGTCTTCTCGCCGTCTTGACATAGAACTATCCGGTTATTTTAAAGCGCGATAACAAGTTTGCAATGGTTAGAGGTTGGTATGGCAACCGATCATCGTCTATTGTGAGACGTATAAAAGTGCAAGTAGCTTCTTACCTTAGGATGGAAAGGCGTCGAGAAGTGGTAAGCCAGTACAGCCACATCGAAGAACAACGAGACGTAACTGATATACATGCGAAAGGCGGTCTCTGGGCTATCCCAGTTGACGTGCTTGTAGTGAGGAAGCGCTGCGGTCTCCATGGTGATCGGTGAAGGTTTGAGGGGGGTACTTGGTATCGTGCCTTGTCAAGGATGAAGAAAACAGAATACAGAAGGAAGAGGAAAGAAGAGGCAGGAAGCGCAAACGGGAAAGGCTCGTCTTTTAAACGGAGGAAGATGCGCAAGATGATCGACTCGGGAAAACTACGCTGCATCTTTGTTAGATGCAAGAAAGAAAAAAGACCCCACTATCTACTTCCCCCTTTACAGATGCCAGAAAGCAGTAAAGATAAGCACGGATGAAGAAAGATGTTACTGAGCGAGGGATCGAAGCCATGCGCTATAGAAAGAAAGCGGCGGATGGACCTGCATAATTGTCGCGAAACCTAATTGAGCTGCTGGCTGATACAGATATGCTAATCATATGCGCACCTCCGACGATCACACGGCAACTAGCCGCCCCTGGGTGTCCTTGATCATCGCCCTACTGGCGCCGAGCTTCTCGGGATTGTGCTTACAGCAGCAGTCTACAGTTTTTACGCCTCTAATATACAAAGCAAGGCTGCAGAATCCCTCCCCTAGCCTGTATTATTGCGTGGAATTCCAACTACAATTATCAACTGAACTTTGTCCTCCTTCTGACGCGCACAATCGCGTGAATCCGGTCTGTGCGATGTGGTTTCGAAGCGAAAGATGGCTGGACTTGACGCTCAACAAGATCGAAGCACTTTTGCTTAGAAGACGACGTGTGTTCGAACAAGAATAAGGATGCGAGAAAAGGATGTGACCTACTCTTCCTCAGTGAACAGAGGAAGATGGAGCAATAAAGCCTGACCTCGTGCCGCCGTAGTAACGGAATTGCCAAAGGGGCTGGCAATGATTCTAGCGAACCTGACGAACTCGGAGTCCTGAACCAATGCGGAAATCCAAAAAATGTCGGAGATGGTACACTTGGATCTTTCCCCCTAGTCTATATTAGTCTGGTTTAAAGATGTTCAGGGGGACGGGTTCCTTGTTGCATAATCTCGAAAAAACCCCATGCATGCAGGACAAGTAACATAACCTGCATATATCTTAGCAAAGCAAAGAACCCCTAAACACAAGAAGGGAGCAATTGCTTGCCATCGCGACTCGGAATCCCGAGCTACGCCAACTTTCTGCCTCTGTATGTGCACACAAACAGAGCGACAAACACATCCACATCCACTGGCGCATACGCATAATCGACCAAGTGAGTGGAGGAATCCATGCTACTATATGTAACTCTTGTTTTGCTGATCGCCCTAGGCCCGTGATAATCGACCGTACCTTTTCACGCCCTTTTTTTTTTTTATTTCCGCCTCCGATTTTTCTTAACCATATTATCTTCTCTGCCATCTCTCCTCTCCTATTTACTTCCGTCAAACCTTTTTCCTGCACACCTCTCCTCGATCCGGTCAAAACTACACAAAATCGATTGCAAGATAATTCGACATGGATTTATCCACGAAAACTGCTTCTGAGAAGCCCTGGCCGTATTCCTCTGGCTATGATAACTGCCCCGAGGTCCTCGAGCCCACACCCTTGACTGTCAAGGGGACCATCCCACCTTGGCTCGAGGGTGCGCTCTACCGATCTGGCCCTGGGTAAGGACAGTGAAAACCGCTTGCAATCTGACACATCAGCTGAAGGGTCTGACAGCGAGCCATCCAGGCGTTCTTTTTTTTGCTTTTCTTTCATGGGTACTAATTTGCTTATTCCTCTATATCAAAAAATATGGTATAGTGCGTACGATCTCAAGTCAGAGTCTGGAAAGGATATTCACATCCAGCATTGGTTCGATGGACTTGCTCAGAGTACGTATTTTTCTAATTTGATTCTTATCCTGATTCCTACTGCTGCTTTTCAACATACTCGATTCGCCTACTGCATGGATAGGGGTTACAAATGAGATAGGCAGACTGAACCAATTGCCCTTTTATCTTACTATACATCAAAAATTTCTAGTCCACAGATATGAGATCCAGCGAGGTGGTCGAGTCTCCTATCGGTCCCGCAATACCTCCAATGATCTTCGCAAGCGGTATGAAAAGGCGGAATCCGTCACAGACGTCACCTTCTGTCAGCGTGACCCCTGCAAGACCATCTTTCAAAAGTTCTTCACGACTTTCAAGATCGCAACTGTGGGCAATCCTCCCATGGGCGGAACCGGTACCAATGTGGGAGTAATCCCTACATTCAACTTCCCTGGACTTATGGAGACCGGTCCTACCAAGACAGGAAAGACGAACCCGAACGCGCGTAACATGGTCATGAACACCGACGGTAATGTCCTCCAGGAGCTCGACCCCGTTACCCTGGAACCCATTCGACTCTTCACCTACGGTGATATCGATGATGCCCTCAAGTCCAGCAACATTGCACCAGCGCATCCATGTATCGATCCCGACACGAATGAACACTTCACGATTTTGCAGACGTTCGGTCCCACAGCCGTGTACAAGGTCATCCGTATCAGACAGTCTCCCATGGGCCCCACACGCGAGCCAGACCTGGATGTCCTGGCCGAGATCAAGTCTCCTCGAGCATCCTATCTGCATAGTTTCTGTATGACCAAGCGTTATGTGGTTATGGCGCACTGGCAATGTGACTTTGCAGCCTATGGACTGAGCGTGCTTTGGTATGGGAATGCGTGGGAATCATTCAAGGCTCATGACCCAAATGTCAAGTCGTCCTTCTATGTGATCGACCGTCTTATTGGTCGACATGTCGCTACGTTCGAGTGCGACCCTTATTATGCCTTCCACACCATCAACGGATTCGACGAAGGCGACGATATTGTTTTGGATATTGCCGCATACAAGGTACATAAGCGTATAACCGCCCCCCCCTCCTCCAAAAAAAAAAAAAAAAAAGATCGTTGGACGCACAGACCTTACACTAAACTCTGTTGGTTTCAAATTCATTTACTATTCCCCAAATGACAGGACCACACCGTCATTGGCGACTACTACATCGATAACTTGAGGGACGAGGTCAATGGTAAACCTCCACAGCAAGCGACCTTGCGCCGTTATCGCCTGAAGAACGTCTCGAAACAGGCCTCGCTCGCCGCAGCCACGAGGGGAGTGCCGCCCAAGCCCGTGCCCGCAGAGATCGACTTCCAACTCAAGCCTGAAATCAATTTTGAGCTGCCCGCCATCAACCCGAGCCGGTACCTGCGAAACTACCGCTATATCTATGGTGTCAACCGCTCCGGTGAGCGGAAAACTCTTATTTACGACCGAATCATCAAGGTTGATCTCGACAAGCTCAAGCAAGGCGATCAGGAAACGTGCGCTAAATTCTGGATGGAAGACCAGTGCACGCCCTCTGAACCCGTCTTTGTGCCAACCCCCAATGCCACTGATGAGGACGATGGCGTTCTGTTGTCAATTGTGCTGGATGGAAGTCGCCGTACGGGATTCATGCTCATTCTGGACGCCAGGACCTTGGAAGAGATCGCGAGAGCAGACATGCCCGAGGGAAGGGTCGCGCCCCACAACTTCCATGGCGTGTACGTCCCTAACATGACAACCTAAACCATGCAATGGGTCGTAGATCTTTATCATGTATTTTCATAACTTCGGAGAATATACTCTATTCATAAGATTGTCTATCTCTTTAAATTAAACCATTGCCATATACTTTTCCACTACACCTCCCCAGCTTGCTCTGCCAACCTGTAAAACAGCGATTCATCCCTTCGTTGTAACAGCACCGAAGGGCTGTCGTACTCAACAACATGTCCCTGCTCCAGTACCAGAATCTTGTCCGAGTCCATCACGGTCTTGATTCTATGCGCGATGGTTAGGATTGTTCGATCCTTGAACTCTGTGCGGATCGTTTTCTGAATCAACTCGTCCGTCTCCACATCCACCGCAGACGTAGCCTCATCCAGGACCAAGATCTTTGTCTTGCGAAGCAGCGCACGAGCCAAGCAGATAAGGGATCGTTGGCCAACCGAAAAGTTCTCACCGTTCTGTGCGACTTCAAACGACATTCCCCCCGGAAGCGACTGGATGTAGGTTTTCAAGTGCGCACGATCGAGTGCCTCCCAAAGCGAGTGGTCCGACTGCTCCAGGAACGGGTCAAGGTTATCGCGAACCGATCCTGCGAAGAGGATGGGGTCCTGCGGAATGATGGCCAGTGCTTGACGCAGATCAACAAGTCCCAACGTCGAGATGTCGACATCGTCAATCAGGATCCTGCCCCCTGACTGCAGCTCTTCATTATTTCTGCCCACGACCTCACTGCCTAGAGACGATGGATCGCTAGCCCTGGCCCAGTAGCTATTGGCAGCCTCAATCATCCTGAAAATTGCCAAGGTCAGCGACGACTTGCCAGCCCCGGTCCTTCCAACAATACCGATGGACTCGCCGGCCTGGACTTCAAACGATACGTCCTTCAATACCAGATCCAAACCTTCTCGATACCTGGCCGAATAGTTCTCAAAAACAATCTTTCCCTGCTTTGGAGGCCACTGCTGGCTGGCATCCAAAAGCGACAACCTTTCCGGCGCCTCCGTTGGTAGATCGATATATTCGCACACACGCTCCACTGCAACCAGTCGGTTCTGCATGTCGCAATACGTTCTCACCAGATAGCTGACATCCTGCGTGACCGTCAGTATAAAGCTCAGTGCCAAGCCAGCTGTGGCGGGATCGATGGTATCGCGCGTGGTCACAAACGCGATGGTGACCAACAAGATGACCACCGCAGACAGACACTGGAGCCGGACCTCGACCCATCGGATACAGTATAGGTATGTCACATGTGCGTTCGTATGAGCGTCGACTCTGGCTACATTCTCGGTAATGAATCGGTTCTGGCTCCGCATAGCTCGGATGGTTGGCACACCACCGAGGGTCTCGTTAAAATGCTGGAAGATAGGGGACTTCAGCACATGAAAAATACGCTTGACGGCGCAGGATGAATACAGATAGTAATGCTGGATGACCATTACGGCGATTAAGAACAATGGAAGAGCCCCAATGAACAGGGGCGTGGTTACGGATACGGTGATCAAGCTGGTGGTGACGCTTACAGAAAACATCGCCATGTTATCGAAGGCCCAGGGAAGTGCGTCATCGATGACTTGGACGTCTCCGGAGATCCGATTAATAATTCGTCCTAGAGGTGTGGTATCAAAGAACGAGGATGGCAGGCGCAGAATTCTGGAGAGAAGGTCGTAATGAATGGTCTTGGAGGCGCGGATTCTGGCCAGTGCGAACCCAATATAGATCACAGTAATGTACATCGCGACATAGATAACTGTCAAAAGGGCAAACACGGAGAGGAATAGCGTCATAGAGGGCGTTGGGTGGTCGCCATTGAGGCTAGAGGACTCGTTACTCCGCTTGATCCAATACTTGAGCCAGAGATTGGTTGCGACAAGCGCAATCTGCGCGAGAATATGGAATCCAAGCACCATTGCCGCATATTTGTATGACCTGCGCCAGAAGATGCAATAAAAGAATAAATGGTCATAAGTGCGCGGAAAATGTAAACGAACATATCACTCAATCTCTAGACAATCAGTGAAAAAAGCAACCTACGATGCCCGGATATACGCAAGTGCAGGGCCGAATCCGACGCTGCCTTCCTTGATGTTTTCCTCTCCGATGATCTTGCCGTTCACTTTCCTCTTTTGGTCTCCTATGCGCATAGAAATCTTTGGTTCTGCATGGCTTGCCGCGACCTCGAGATTTCCTTCGGCGGTATCCATTGCATCACTGCTTGACTGATCGTCGTCATAGCCAGTCTCAGACTCTGCTTGACTGGCGGTCTCGCTCCCAGCGTCTGCTTCACTACGCTCTGTGCCAGATGCTGTGGTCGTAGCCACTGCTGCTGGTGTATCGCCACTCTCAAAATGCCTGCGGTGTTTGAGCGCGTATTCCTTGATGAGAACGTAAAACATCTTCTTTGCCGCCATGAGATTGGCATACGTTCCGTGCTCTGCAATGCGTCCATCCCTTACCATCACTACCGTGTCCGTCTCTCTCAAATGATGGATTCCATGTGTCACCAAGATCCTAGCCTTCCCTTGCAACAGACCCTCGGGGCCGATCAAGTTTCGCCACAGGTGTCGATCCACGTGTGCATCTACAGCACTTAATGGATCATCCAGTAGATAAATATCGGCGTCATCGTATGCAGCTCGAGCAAGCGACACTCGCTGTTTCTGTCCTCCGGAAAGATTGATACCTCGCTCGCCAATCTCGGTCAGGTCACCAGCGGGTAGCATAGCGATATCCGGCTCCAGGCCACACGCATGGACGATTCGCTGGTATCGCTCTTGTTCATAAGGCTTGCCGAAGAGAATATTGTCGCGAAGTGAGCAGTTGAGGATCCAGGCGTGCTGAGGAACGTAGGCGATTCTTCCCCTTGTATGGGCCTCTCCCTGGACCTTGTACATCTCACCAATGATGGCACTCAGAAGCGAGGACTTGCCTTGGCCGACTCGGCCAACGATAGCATTAAGGGACTTGTTGGCGATCGATAGGTTGATGTTCTCCAAGGTCGGGCGGCACTTCGTGGGAGTGCTATCCTCATCCATTTCGGAAAGAAGGGGCTGGGCCTCATCCACAGTCTCATCGACGGATGGCGACGTTTCGCTTTTGACCCAAGAAAAGGTGCCATCCTGGATTGAGACCACTGGAACGCTAGGGTCCTCGGGCACGCTCCTCTCTCGAATGACGTCCGACTCTTTAATTTCCTCCAGCAACAAGAATCTTTCGATCCGCTCTGTTCCAACAATAGTAGCCAGGGTCTCCGAAGTCGCCTCGGCCAATGCGCCAATCGGGGTTTTGAGCATTCCGAACAAGGTCATACTAACAAAGACCGTCTGTGGCGTCAACTTGCCTCGGGAAAACCCTTCTCCTCCCCAGAGTGCGTACGCAGACAGGGTCAACAAGGAGATGATCAAGGTTGAAGAAGTGAAGATAATTGACATAATCGAATAGATCACGCCCAGCCGTTTCAGGACCACTAGCTCTCGTTCGCGGATCTCGAGGATTTTTTTCCTGAAGGCAGCCTCCCAGCAATACAGCTTGACCACCTTGGATGCTGCGAAGACTTCAGTTGTAAGTCGGATTCGCTCGTCCATGACCGACATCCTGTCCTTGATCATACTGTTATACACTCGAGCACGATAAACCTGCATGGGTGTCATAGCGAGCAATGCAGCGATACCAGCCAAAAAGCTCCATCCTAATAGCCGGTACACTATCAACATACAAAGGTGAGTTCCTATTCTGGAGCTAACGCTACCATGATCGCCATTGATAGTCGTGGATCTAAATGACCCGAACTTACGTAGCCACATGGCGGTGCCGACTTCAACAGGTAGCGAGATCCACATGCTGAGGAAATACAGGCCTTCTGTCCAGACGTCTGCGTCAACTGACATGTGGTTCATAATCTCGCCTGTGGTCGACTTGTTCTTGGATCCAGGGCTCAATCTCAACGCCTTGCGGTAGATCATTGACGTGAGAGCCACCTTGGTTTTCAGACTGAGCTGGATGGAGTATTGCCGGCTGACCGCCTGCATAATCGCCCTGATGGAAGCTGCCCCAAAAAGGGCTCCAGCAAGGAGATATCCATACGCGGGGCTCTTTTCTCTTTCAGTCCCTTGGTCCTGGAGGTATTCGAGGAAGAGACTGAGGATTGCAGGGATCGAAAATAGGAGAGATGGTTGGATGGTTCTGAAGAGCAATATCGGTATTATGCCCTTGGCGTTCACGCGCAGAATGGTTTTAAAGAGAGAGGCCCGCTTTTTTTTGGAGGGAGGGCAGCTGTCTTCTACGTTCCGGCGCCACCGAGTCTCGAGAGCCTCATAGCTGGGCACGGTCCTCATGAACCCTGGCAGCTGGTTCTGAATGTCGTCTACAGTGATGGTGCGCTTGACCGAGAGCGACACAATCGGCTGGAAAAAATGGAATGTACAGCGGGAGCATATGTTGGCCTTGTCATATGTGCTAACATCGCTCAACTGCTGCACTCTAGTGCGGCTTCTTGGCCAGGCTTCGACGAAAAAACCGAGGACGAGACATACCGCCATAGCGAGGGTAATCTTATGCTGTGAATTATCTACAGACTGCAGATCGGCGCTTGGAAGTAAGATGAGAAGCAGGGAGGAGAGGCAGAGGACGTAGAATGAGAAAATCAGGTCTGAAGAACGGACGGTGTACCGATGCTCGTCATCATTTAGCGCAAGAGCAATGATCTAGAGCAAACAATAGCATAGCAGAACAATTTCAGTCGCGCGTCTCTCATGGCATTGAAGAATGCACAAATGGTGATGGATTCGTTTGTACCCAGGCTATACCGACAGAGAGATACCCGAGGATCGCAGCAGGGGTGCCATCTCCATACCAGAGGCGGAGTACTGTGTTGAGCAGCGCCAGGATGCCGGCCAAAGCCATGCAGGTTTGGGTAGGCCAGTAGATCCAGGTAGTGGTACCTAGGCCATGTGGCGTACACTTGGTTCGCAGATGCACGATTCGAGCCACAAATGCAGCCGCAACAACTGCCGAGAGGGCCCCAAGCAACATGCTAATGTACATGCCATCGTCAAATGGCCAAAAGGACAAAACAAATAATGAGATTCAATCCTCCGCGTAATACGTATTCTATATCTTTTCTCGTACCTGAATTTGAAGCATGGGGTCAGATCGAATCGATCTGGACTGACGGGGCCCTGGCGAGGAAGTACGGAGGCAACACGAGGCAGCAGATCAGTTGGAACGAACGAACAAAATATCTTGCCATTATCCCAGCAATATGAACTGAGTTCCTTACCCAACCTTCGCCTTGCCCGCACAGGGACTTGAGAGGGGAGACAGATTGACCTGTAGAGAAAATGATGGAGAGGGGATGGGGCCTATGGTTCCCATCGGTAAGAACAAACTGAGAGAGCATTCTTGGGTATTTGTCTAGTATTTCTTTCTTCTTTTTGCTTTTGTAACAACTGTTTCTTCTTTTTGTCTTGTTAAAGAAAAGTAAAAAAATAAGCTGGTCCCAGAACAGAAAGAAGAAAAGGAAGGAGAAGGAGGAATAATATTTTCCTTCTTTTTATAAGAACGTCCGCGCACCTCCGCAGCGTTTTGAGCAAACTTTAAAGCAACCCTAACAATAATCACTCCTCGTCCAAGCATTAGCAATGTGTACCGATTTAAATAAACTCTGGCTTGTTTTTATTAAACAAGAAGAACCGCTTATTAGGATGGTTGGTATTTGAATCCGCCAGCGTAGGCAATGGCCCCGAAGCTATCAGCCGTTGGATTATGACTGAAAATCTCTAGGAATCCGTACAACGCAACGAATACCGCCTTTTCCGATTTTTAGTTAATATGCATAGACGTTCGGGCCCTGAATCATACTGCATAGGAGTAAAGAAGCTTCATGAGGCGCTTAGTGATAATTTCAAATGTTGGAAGAGATAATGGCCATGGAGCCTCAATGGCAATAAAGTATTTCGAGCTGTCGCTTCATGCCTTCCATACGTTCTCTCAATATGCCATGCACTTCGCGAGGCAGCCTCCATCGTGCTTCTATCTTGAAGTTGTACCCGAAATTGTTCAGGTCCTTGTTAGCCTCTACAACGTGCCAGGCCTCGCGAGGTTTTTGAATCATCCTCAGGGTCCTATCCGCTTTGTGGCCTATTTTCTTCCTAGAAGAAGTGGTATGGTCAACAAAGCTCTCAGTATTCTTTCGGACGGCCGAGTAAAGGGTCTACGAGCCACCGTGTAGGAATACGGCATTGTCAACTGTCTCCGAAAGTGTGTCGATGCATGACCATGCTTTGAGTTGCCAATACACTTCTTAAGACCTTTTGTCAAGAGTGATAGGACTCCTTGGTATTAAGGCTCGACCTATGGGAAACAACGTAACGTTAATAACTTCTGTACAAAAAAAAAAAGTCAAGAACTGCAGTTTATAATAATGCCACCCTATCCTTTATTCACTTGAAACGGCATGCTTGACAGGATCCCAGTCCGATTTGACGCGAATATGGTCAGAGTAGCGTATAACATCACATGCCTTCCTCTGCCTCCACGATGAGGTTCTGCCAGAACTGATCAATTCAAGTTTGCTATATACCCACTCTCTATCTAGTTCCTTTTACTCGTCTTTCATTTCCCGAGTTGAGACTATTTCGAATATAAGTAGGGTTCTTTAGACCAGTCGCACTACAATACTGGCTTTTAGCTATTTATGGCATACACTGGTGTATAGAGCACTTGCTCTCCCGCGCTAAACAACGGTGCGTTTAGAAACTTGTGAAATTCCTCTGCCTTATATTAAATTATTTTTCCAACAACAATAAGCTGCAAACTGTGGATCTAGCAGAGTTGACCGGGGGCGAATAGAAGCGCATTCGGAAGAACGCTAGTCATCTGCCCCTAAACATGATGGGGGCCTTATATATCAATGATAGGATTGTCAAGGACGCTTAGAAACTGGACGAAACATCCATCGACATAACAATTTTTTTGCATGTACTTTCAGTTCTTGAACTGCTCCGCGACATCTTTAGAGACCTTTACATGCGCGAGCAGATAGTTGCAGGAATTTGGTTCGTCGTGGGGAATCGGAGCTCGGCTGAAGCAGAAGTATTTGGAGAGGAAAAAAGTCGTGTACTTTTGAGTTTGCATTATGACATTTGATGAAGGCCATGCTGGCGTGCCTTGAGTTCATCACTGTACTGAACACTTGTGAATATCGTTTTCGCGCGTTCGCTGATACAGTCTACCACTGATGACATTTGGGGTGGTGAGCACGCACACGAAATTGAATTACAATTTTTATTACCAAGGGTTAGGCAATCAAAATATGAAAACGCCAGAGACGAGCGAAGAGGCAAGAAAAACGATGTTTATTGAGTAGTAATTTAGTCCGCAAGTGGTTGCAGCGGATGCGCTGCTTTTAACGACAACGGACAATGCAATCGGGTATCTAAACAATCCAGCTCTTTAACTATGGCCAAGTCGCGCCATATGTATTAAATGATCTGCAGCCGCATAATGCGCAAGCAAGCTACCACTACTGTCAAGGATTAGGCCGCGAACGTTCTCTTTTCAACTTGTAGTAGCGAGTGAATATCTTTAAGCCAAGACACCAAGGTGTTAGCCTTCTAGTCGATTCAAGGTTTATGCGTATGGTGCTGCATTCAGCTACCTGCAGACCAAAAGGTCGTTATGAAGCATTTTAATATTGATTGTGCATTCGCCTTCCGTATCAAAAATCAGTCCTTTCAACCAGCGATTCTCAGGATGTAGGCAGCTAAATTTAGGGGCTTATTGGTATCTATCTGCTAGAAACATATATAAGGCTGCCCTTGATCGTTGACGCTATGCGTGTTTGGCAATAAGAAATATTACGCAACACAGAGCTTTGTAGTTGATGAAAGTAATGCTAAAGTTGTCTAGTCTCCCAAATCCCTGTCGTTGTTTTGTTTGATGCATTAATTTTCCAAAACTTTTTCTCAAGAATAGCAGCATAATAAAAAAGGACAGGAGAGTAAATACAGATGGTTAGAGAGCTCAGGGACTGTTGCCGCATACGTAACTCACAATTACATGAACCGCCAAAGGGTCCAGGTGGCCGGATGCTTCTGTCTGCAATGAAGTCTCTGATATGGCGATCGAGCAGGTAGTTACCTTGCGGGGATGGCTAAAACGATGATGCCAGTTCTCTCGCTCTCGCAGCGTAACGAAACGAGTAGCTGATGGAGAGTGCGCTAAAAGTTCAACACTTTTTTCCCATCCAACTGACGGCCCCTACCACCTTGTGCAAAGCCTTTTCAAAAAAAAAAAAAAAAAAAACTGCGTGGTCGGATACTTTTGGCTGTAACAATGCCTCTGCTAAGACGATCCAGCAAACAGCTGTCTGTGGAGAAGGTCAGAACGATACTTCCCATTATCTCGCTCTTCCATGGTAACGAGACGAGAGGCGGATGCCCTATCCAACAGATGACCTCTACCATCCTCCACAATAAACTCTCTGGGAGCCGCTGTATCGATTAAAACAGATAACAATATATTACCTTCTTGATGTGCTCCATGATTTGCATCTTGAGCGGCAACAGTTGGAGGAGGAGGATGTGTGGCTTCAGTTAATCAGCAAACAGAGCTCAAATACGCCATAGAACAGATGTCAGTAGCGTGATTGCTGAAGCGCAAAACTAAAATATGATCCCTATGTAGGACACAGAGTACGTGCACGCGTCAAATATGCTTGAGGGCCTCTCATCCGGCTTCATCACTTCCTTATCCTTTGCCATCCAGGAGAATCGGCTCTAGTTCATATATATCAAGCCCCTTTATTCCAGGGTACGCTTGTAAAGCTTCCTCTCTTTCTTACTATAGCTACACTCACTTGTTTCTAGCGTATCTGTAGGAATGAGTATGTTGCCGTTGGCTGAATATCCATACGGGTACGAGCTTTCAGCTACTGTCCAGACGAACTCTGCCCCTGGTTACGTTCGCTGTCCTTCGCCTGATGCCCCGCAGATACTGGCAGAGATGGAGGCCATATTACTATGCGTTATTGCAGTTGACTAACCAAACACTTGCTTCTGGTTTTGTCTTTAACTAAACGGAGGGCAATCATGCCAGGGAGGCAAAGCTCAGGAAGAGGATTGCTTGCAAGACCGTCCCGGGCCCCCATCTTTTCGTGGAGTCGCTCAAGGCCTTTATTTATTTGACTCATCCGGCGGCAACAAGAACACGTACATCTCTGGAGCTATACTATCAATAAAGGAGCCATTTTGACAATACAAGCAGTTTGAACAACATCTGGTGTGGCGGATAATGCTGCCTTGCTTTCATGCAGCTCCATTATCGCCTACCGGACGCTTGCTAATACATTTCCTTGCGTTCATTGACACAGTCTTCCATTGACGATTTGGAGATGCGTGTGAGACCCCGTTACGAATTTGCTGCCAAACTAGCTATGCGACCAAGACATGAACAACACAGCAGCGACGGACAAGGATATGAGAAAAGACGACATTTTATTAAAAGGTATTTTGGTCCGCAACTGGATGCGGCGCGTGTGTTGCTCTAGCAACAATAGAAATTGCTTTTAACTGGGACCGGGAATCTACATTTTCAGCTTGGTCTTGTTCAAAACCATGATCACCTCGCCATCGCTAACATCGTAGTATGATATCTGGCGCATATCATCTTTCAGGGTGACATTGACCTGCACCGCAAAAGCAAAACAAATAAAAAAAGAGTCGATGAGTACTACAGGTAAACTAGACTCACGAATTAGTCAAGCGAATGAGTAGTGGTTGCCGCTTACCTTAACATCCTCATAATCTGGATCGTTGGTCAAGAAGACCAGTTCCTGGCGAATAGCAGGGATCTTCAGCAGCTTTTGCGCCAAGTTCTTCAGGTTCTTGACCGTCATTGTGCCCAAGACATTTCTTTGGAACGATGCCTTGGCAGGACCCTCGATGCTGTCCTTTGACACCAAGGTAATTGCTGAACAAACGAGAAATAACGATGGAAGTTGTCAGGGGTATGAAACTGTGTTGCGGGAGAAATTCATTATGCACTCACGAGGGTGGCGTTCAGCACCAGGATCACCGTTCTGCTCTTACCGATCAGACGATCTTTTAAGATTTCACTGGTAGCTTTTCTGTACTCATCACCTGTATCCGGACGCCCATGGACTATCGATATCAAACATATCAATAAACATTAATACCATTAAGAAGCGAAGGACCGATTTCCAGAAGAGAATGGGGAAGAAAAAAAAGGTATCTCGAGTGCTAGTCATACCTTCGCAAAGCTCCTCAAAACGTGGATGAAGTGCGTGAACTGCTTCAGGGTCCATTCCTTTAGTCGTCATTGCCACGTTCTTCAAGTAATATATTTCTGCATCGATTCTGTTTGTTTTCGATATCTATACGTATCGTTCAGGTAGCAAAACATAGTTAGTTGTGGGATATACCGTCAGTCTTTCATTCAAACAATTCAAAGGTCCTAATGTGCTTACTTCTGATCCATTCAAGTACTGAATATGGGGCATTCTGGCAATGGCTGTGATCCTGGGATCCGATGCAGTATTGATCTCTCCGGTAGACGCTGTATTCGTGAGAGGGTTGTTTCCAATCCAAACAGTTCTCAAGGAGGTATAGCGACCGAGCTGGTCGATGCTCGTCCACTCTTTCAAGGAGTTATCGGTGAGGCGAAGAGATGTCAGCAGCTTGAAGTCGTCCTCGTCCTGTGGTCCGAGAATGCTCTCAATCTTATTCTCTGACAGATCCAAAGACTCCAGTCTATATTGGGACACATCATTTGGTAGGCAAAGATGAGGAGTAGACACCATTAGTCGTCTGACAAAGAAAAGGACCGAGACAGCGGGGCCGAACGCAAGATCACAACGATGCAGTGGTAAATACTTTGGCAAGCGTGAGAGGCGCAGGATCTGGTTCCAGTCTGTGAAAGCATTGCCCTCCAAATGCAGATTTTCCAAGTTGGCAAATCCTTTGACCTTTTGCGATGCGATCGGGACTGAGGGATCCACTTTGCCGAGCTCAGAAAAGAGATTGTAACCGATCTGAAGGATTCTCAGATTCGGCAACGAAGGCTCCAAAAGCTCAAACTGTGTGCCAACAATGAAATCATCTTGTCAGTTAAATGATTGTCCTTCAATCTATAGACAATAGGAGTAACTTGTCAGCATACCTCATCCCAGGGCATGAAGACACGGTTCAGGGCCAGGCATTGAATATTCTTGAATCCGTATTCAAGCGATGGTTGCGTTGTAAGCGGCTGAAATCGGTTTCGGCTAGCGACAAAGAGCAGACATGTCAGAACTTGGATTTGACACTGGAGTCTTCTCCACTTGGACCTGACGGCCTTATTCGGCCTTTTTTTTTTTTTTTTTAATGGACACTCACTTCAAGCGCAGGACGTCCAGCTTGGTAAGAGGTGCACAAATGTTCGCAACGTCTTTCCATGTACAGAGCAGAGTGGACGAGAGATCCAAGTCTCGAATGGCTATGAAAGAACCGTTTCCAAAGCGACCGCTGTTAGAGGACCATACCTATGGCGATCTCAACGAACAATAGGAGTGTTTGCTTACCTGGACAAGCCTTTTGCATCTCATCGAAACCTGATGCAGTAGCGACATTGGTGTTGGCCAGACCTACAACCTCCATCAAGTGTAGTTTACTAAAAGGGATCGTACAGCACCGAGCGGGTGAGATGTGCAAAGAATCACGTCAAGGATAGGTTTAATATTTCTGCATCCCATTGATCATCCGTTCCATACCTCTGCCGGCCCTTGACGCGCTCAAAGTCATAGACATCGACAACGACGTTGGACTGTCCGAGATATAATGCGGCCTTGGCGTCCTTCTCTTCATCGACATATCTTTCCTTCAGAACCTGGAGTAACGAGTTACCAGTCTGGATCTTGGAGGAGAGTCGGATAAAACTGCCTGTGCCAGGGAAACTGTTCCATTGATGAAAAAGAAAAAAAAAAGAAAAAAAAAAGGTCGGTATTTCGATATAGCATGTTTAGACTGTCATTAATTGCAAATGTGAAGATTGCACTTTACAGGCAATTAAAGTACTTGGTTCCGTTATGCTCGCCCGAATGCTTCCCTCGCTCCTTGCCGTCCCACTCGACGCCGATCCACTCGCCTTTTGTGGGCGGCACCTCGCCAAGGTATCGCACCGTGCCTCGAGAATAATCCACCTCAATACGGCGGCCAATTTGAATAGGTGGTTGTTGTGGCTGTGCTTGTCCAGCTTCGGCCGTTGGTACGTTAGAGGTCATGGAGGGAATGATCACAAAGCGAATGTCAAAAGTGATGTGTCAAGGGTGTGCTTTCAGTTCTAAGGAGAGATAGAGAGGGAAGGGAGGGTGGCAGTAGAAGGGTGTTGGCTGACAGAGGCGTGGGTGTGATGAAGCATCAGAAAGAAGGAGGGGGCATCATTCGCATAGGTTATTTATGTGAATCAAAGGTGTTCCTGGGCGTCGGTGAATGTATGGATGTGTGACTCGACCTGGGCGTGAACCCTTTTTCTGTCTGTTCGCGTCTCTGTGGGTTCTCTCCAATGCAACGCGCTGCGCGTTTGGAGAGCAATTGGGCATTCTGATTGGACAGGCCTACAACAGCGCACTTGCGGTTGCGTCTGTCCCCGCCGACCATCAACTGCGATACGATCTGTAAACCCCCTCATCTCCATAGAATACATAGTAACCGGAATAAGGAACATGCAGCCGCCCGCATTCTCAGAACCCATGCCTGTGATAATCGGTATGATACCACAACCCCGTACCCCCTCTGTGGACTGGTGGCATTTACGGGATAGTCTACATGGCGATAGACACAGACAGGATTATCACCGAGTGCCCTGTGGCTGGGATATGCAAGGTGTTGATGGTTTGCGGGGAAGGGGCCCAGAATGGACATGTGGCAGGCTATCCCCAATAAAGAGTATCTGATGTGATGCTGTGGTGCCAGTGGGCCAAAATATAACCCATGACGAGATGGGATGAGAGCCGGTCAGAGAACCCTGCCGAACGAAAATATTTTCTTTACCTGTCTGTTCCGCTGCCTCTCTTCTTTCTTTTCCTCCCTTCTCTTTCTTCCTCTCCCCCCCTCCCTCCCACTTCACCAACACCGAACTACCCCATCCTCGCCTTTTGCACAAGCACAAATGGGTATCCAATTCGAGCATTGGCCTTCTAAGGTCGCCAATATCCTGGTCTACGTGACCCTCCTCTCCGGAAACCTCTACTCGACCTTTGGTGGCGACAAGGACACGGACTCGCCCTACGACTCCAAGCATGAGTCCTACATCACCCCCGCCTCCTTCACCTTCTACATCTGGACTCTGATCCACACCCTCCTCGGAGGCATGGTTATCTTCCAGTGGTTCACCGACAAGGTCCACCAGGCTGCGGGCTGGCACTTTGTTACCGCCTCCATCTTTAACGCCATCTGGCTCGCTCTCTGGGTATGCTCATGTCCATTAGCCCTCACTCTTTCTTTATCACTCGCACTGGTTGCTTGTTCGTACTTTGGAAGTGCAAAATCCGGTGATAATAGCCACCACAAAAAAAAAAAAAAAAAAAAAAAAAGGCTGTGGATGAAGTTGGATCTTGGCGGCGCGCTATATTGTCGATATCAGAAAAGGCAGCAGTTTCGTAGTAATGATGGTAGCTAGTGGTAGCTGAGGCGACTTCTTATTCGAGAACAAGCTGTCTGTTTAAAACGGGTCCAGTGGGAATGACGAGGGCGGTTTACTTGACAAGAAACTGGTCTATTTCGTTCGTGTTCTCTTTTAGGGCCAAGGAAGGGGAAAAGGCGCAACGCCCTTTATTTTTTGGCGAAGAACCTAACCCTAGTAACTCTGTTTGTGCACGCATAATAGTCCTCGGGCCACACCTTTTGGGCTCTGGTCGCTTTGTTCTTCGCCACCGGCGCTGTGTCGTTCATCTATTACCGTCTTAAGGAGCAAGATTCGGCCGAGACGCTGCTGGATGTGATCTTCCTGCACCTCCCCTTCTCACTCTACCACGCCTGGATCTTTGTCCTCTTGATCATCAATTTCTTCGCAGTCTTCTCTACCACCCACGATGACGGTCCCTCGACCTTCCAGGTTGTCCTTGCAATTGCTGGATTAGCATTCATTGCTTCGACCGTCATTGGGTATATTGAATACAAGCAGGGCGATGTCGGTAAGTCCACTTTATGTTTTGTCTGTACTCAATTATACATGAAGGTGGAAATCTTGATTCTAAGCCTTGTTATTGCACTGCGATTAAACATAGCTGGCGCCCTCGTTTTGGCCTGGTACTTGTTCGGTGTCTTCGCCCAGCAGAGCCATGATGCCATCCACTGGACTGCCCTCGGATTAGGCATTGCAGTCACCGCCTATACTCTCAAGCCCTTTGTCCTCCGTCTCGTTGGTCGCCAGTCGGGCGAGAGCGCTCCTCTCTTGGGCTAATGTGCATGTATATAATGATCGACAGTAAAAGTCATGGGAAGCGTTCTCTTGCATGGTCGATGGGCAGTCTGAAAGAATTGTTGGACATTGGACTGATATTCGACAAGGAGACTCAGAGTTTTCTGGGGCGTTCATCTTCACCACGGACTTGTATAGTGTACATATCGTAATAAACTCAAAGCCACGCCTTCCGTATGCATCCTTCTTTGGGGTAAGGTGTTGAGGCGGTGTTGCCCTGTGCTTGGGCGGAGGATCTACCGGGGATGGTCTTCTTTTCAATGCGTGCTTGTGTGAGCGCTAGGTGCCACTGGCGATCCGTTTTCTATTTTCTATTTTAAGATCGATGGGCGGTGATTTGGGCGTAAAATATGATAGCTATAAAAGAGGACGAAGAAGCACTCTTGTTCTTTACTTTCATCGTCCTCCTTCGACCCGTATCCACTTCCTCGCCCCTCCCCGCCTCCAACCGTCTCAGCTGCTGTCAGAAGTCACCAGAAAGAAGTAAGTGTTCCCCACAACATTTGAAATACCTCAACATATCCCCGCAGGAATCCGCACTTGAGAAAGGCGCGTAGTATGAAAAAAAAAAAATTCATTTGTCGGAAAGTTCAAACATTTCTGAGCACTAAAGGATATCAAAGACCACTCATCGACCTTCGTCCCGATGATGTTCATGCCCTGATCTCTTCCCTCCTAAACATCCGATTCCGATTCATCCTAACTAACCATCTCACACCCCAACACTCGCTGTTATATTTAGAGCAATTGAACCAGGACTCTGCCTTACGCCCTCTCGGTTCTTCACATTCATCACACACACCCCTCCCCAAATCTCGTCAACAACCTCAACCGCACTATGAAGTTCTCAACAGCTGCCCTTGTCGGCGTGCTCTCCCTCGCTCTTTCCTACTTCCCGTCCTCAGTACAGGCCTGCGAGCGCGAATGTCAGGTGAATGTCTCGCACGCCTTCGCTGACAAGTACCAGATCGTCTCTAGCCATTACTTCACACTCCTCAACCGCAAAATCGAGGAATCCCTCTTCTATGGTATCCCAGTCGCCCAGACCCTGTCTCCTGCGGAATCAACAGCAGCGGTCAAAACCATCCAAGATTCCATCGTCAAGGCCCAGAATGCTTGGGATGTCACTATCTTCCCCACGGTCTTTGACACGATCTTCAAGGACGAGCCCAAGTTTAAAGGCGACTGCAACCATCCTCATCGCGTGAGGCAGCCTCCACTGGGTGTTAATTGGACCATGCCCGATTGCCACAATATGGACTACATCTGCGGCAACCCACCCTCGATCTGTCATTTTATGCCGATGATCAAGCACAGGATCGTGAGGAAGCTGATTATGCAGCTGCAGTCCAGGGTCGACGGTGATGACTCGGATGTGTATACGAATTTCATTGCGCCAGCGTTGCAGACGCTGTTGACGGGGCAGACGAAATTGCAGCAGTATTCGGCCACGTTGCACGGAAATCTGAACCAAATTTTGGAGGCTGTCAAAAATGAACTGGACGAGTTTGCGGACGAGTCGCAGTGGAAGAGAGAGTGGGACATGGAAATCAAGATCTTGCTCTTGACTTTCCCATAAAGTATACTATATATCTACTTAGCAATAATAAACAATCCTTGAGCACTCAAAAGAAGATCTTCGCCTAGCTCGAAGTATCCTGGCGAGCCGTGAAAAGAAGGAGGACTTCCCTCTCAGTGACGCAGTAATCATCGGAAGGTAGATGCGTGCATAGCATGTCAGGCGGGCTGTCATTGAACACGATGGCCCATAATGCGGGGGAAGCGGGAAGCGGCTGGAAAGGCGAAGCACTTATGGGGATGCATAGAAGCATTGCCGCAGCGCAAAAAAAGGGGGGAGAAGCAATTGGTGAAGCGCGTTCTTGGCTGTGGAGCATAGACACTGACATAGACAGCACCGCGTCGGAATGAAAAAAAGACGGAGGGGGCGTAAAATAAAATTGATACGCAACTCTCGATTGACATCCCAGCAATCCCATCTCATCTCTATGAGCCCTAGCAAAAAAGGCCATGTTGCCAAGACTCCATCTTCTTCAGGAATGAGGAGTAAGGACAGAGAAGAAAGGAAGAAACCGCAACATGCCGAGAGTTGCTCCTACGGGAGCACTTCCAAAGCTGCTTTCGATGGATGAGGACACCCATCCGTGCGTGGACTGCGCGCATCAATTTCCTTTTCTGGAAAACGAGTCAATTCAACGCGGCCAGTGTTTTGCCAGGGGCCCTCTTTGCTGCACAGCCATAGTGATTCACATATAAATACCATGCAAACAACCTTCTTTCTTTCTTTCTTTTCTTTCTTTTCTTCTTTATAACCATCAGCACAACCGCTACCAGCATCGAAAGCAACAACATCAGCAACACCATTCAGACCAACATTATCACACCTCACCTCGCCCAACACACAAGAATGGCCCCCTCCCGTCGCTTCATCGTCACTTGCTCGCACCACTGCCACTGCAACCACGCTGCCGACCATGTCGCCGTCTCCATTGCATCCACAGCCGCTGCCACAACCACATCCACAACCAAGGCTTCATCCGCGCCTCTGCCCCTGCTCCCCACCCCTCCTTCATCCCCGCAATTGACGCCCTCGTCGTCCTCTGCGCCGGACTCGCCCGTGGGCCATGGCCATATCCTGTGCCCCCCTGACGATCACCTCGAGACCCTGATCCTACCGACAGCCCAGCATTGAGCTCAACTGCAACTGCGGCTGCTCCATTGAACGAACACGCTACACTTCCCAGCGTTCGACCGTAACCCAATATCACATAGCATGAACATGCACATATGTGTCTGTGCCTCTGCAACAAACCCAAGCAACGTTCCCTCGACCTCGGCACACCTCCCCCCTCCCTTCGTGCTTCGCGCTTGGCACATAGACCAGCAACAAATTTGCCGCGGAAGGGAAACAAACTTTGCCCGCGAGGCATGGACTGCAGCAGGAACATCCGACAAGCACGAATGGCTGTCCTTCTCCCACTGCGCAGAACAAAGGATATGTCAGCCAATTCGAACGACTTTTTAGTCGTCATTTTGAAGTACCCTTGTTCCTTTGCTCAGGGTCTTCCTAGAAACAGGAAATCACAATAAATTTATATTTTATTTTATTTTTACAACCGACAAAGACAGGGACCAATTGAGAGAGGAAGAAATATTCATCCGCACCAATGGAATGAATAAGCCGGCTACACAATATTTTTTTTTTTTCAGGAACCAGGAACAAGTTCATCTTTCGAACGTGTCTTCAAGGCGTTTCATCCACTGCGCCACAACTTCTTTTTTTTCCTGGTTCCCTCTCCTTGTTTGCCCAACATCCACAGTATCTCTGATACCCAACACTTTTTTTCCTTTATCACACGCTTGCTTCGACATTTGAAAGCATGTCGATGCATGCTCTACATCCCCCTCTTAAATCTGAGCGTGAATCTCAAATAAAATAGAAGTGTAATTGCACCCAACAACAAATGGACGCACATGCCAAGACGAGCGAGTACAGAAAAAACCCACATGGCTGAATATGAATAATGCAATGCGGAAAGGTTTATTTGAAAGTTTTGATGAAGATCATCGTAATTTCTTGGTTTTTAGATTCCCGATAAATATATGAGATACATAAGACGATGGGTGAAACGCATGCGTGCGCGCGTGAAAATGCAGCGCCAAAAGACGCCTTTCTGTTCCTTTTTTCCCGTCGTTCCATTTTACTCTGTCTTGGGCTTGGCGGCCTCGTCAACCTTGATGGCCTGACCGCCAGGCACCATCATGACAAAGGGAGCGGGGCGAAGAGGGGTATCGGGCATGGGGGGCAACAATGCAGCGGCGCTCTGTCTTGCCAGCTGGGCCATAACAGCACTATCGATCATTGAGCGTAGCATAAAAAAAACTCATCAGCGATCTGAACTTAATCAGTCTGAGCATAAAAACAGCAAAGGTAAAAGATACTTACTCCATGATGACCAAGGCTGCCATGGCCTCAACGATGGGTGTCGCTCTAGGGACAACACAGGGGTCATGACGGCCTCTCGTCGCCAAAACTCCATCGACACCATTATAACTCGTCGTCTTCTGCTCCTGACTGATCGTCGCCGGCGACTTGAATCCGATCCTGAAGTAAATATTCTCTCCGTTCGAGATACCGCCCTGGATTCCACCAGAGTAGTTGGTCTTCGTTCCAAGGACCTTCTGTCCCTTGCGTCCGACCTTGGCCACCCAGGCATCGTTATGCAAATGGCCCGGAACCTGCGTGCCGCCGAATCCAGATCCGATCTCAAAGGCCTTTGTGGCCGGGATCGACAACATCGCATGCGCAAGCTTGGCCTCCAATTTATCGAAGCAGGGCTCACCCAATCCAGTGGGCACGTTGCGGATCACGCAGGTGACGGTGCCTCCGATCGAATCGTTTGCCTCCTTTGCCTCGATAATACGCTAAATAACAAAGAGAGGGGAAGGGGTCATCGACAAAAAAGGTAAACAATGTTTAGGCCCGAATTACCTTATCGCATAACAATCGACGCCGTGATCAAAAATTCTTATGTGCTCTACCTGAGTCATCTTCTTAGAAATCTCCTTGTCGGGACACCGAGTAGCCTCCGCATCGATCATCTCGCGAGTCACCGTGCTCAACAACTCCACAAACTCCTCCGAGGGTGTGCCCTTCTCGTTCTGTTCCTCAATGAAGGGCATCGCAACCTTGCCGACCGAGGACACAAATGCTACAACCTCGGTTCCAAACGCCTCCTTCAGGAACTTTTCTGCCACAGCTCCAGCAGCGACACGACCTGACACAACCGAATAAATAAAACAACAACAACAACATACACACCACACACACGAAAAGTAAAGTACACGACATTAGAATTTCCGAGCTACTTTCATGCAATCCGTTCAATTAACACGGCACCATAGGAGCACGTGTTATACCCTCCCTGTTTCCTTACCAATAGTCTCGCGAGCACTAGCGCGTCCGCCGCCCGACGAAGCCTTCAGTCCGTACTTGAGCAAGTATGTCCAGTCGGCATGGGAGGGGCGAGGGTACAGATCTGTCTCGGTATAGTCGTGAGGGCGCTGATCCTGATTGGGCACCGTCAATCCAATGGGAGTGCCCAACGTGTGTCCAAATTCTGTGCCGGACATAATTGTCACCCTGTCCTTCTCATCGCGCTGTAATCGCACATGGGAAATCAATCGAGTCAATTCAGTGGATATTTTATCACCAAAAAGAAAAAAAAAAGAAAAAAACACCCATTTGATAAAGAACACAAATGCAAAATGAACACTCAACAGAAAGTAGTTAGCTTACAGGAGTGGTCAGGTTGCTTTGACCAGGGCGTCTGCGGGTCAGTTGTGGCTGAATATCGTCCTCGGTCAAGGCGAGTCCGGGTGGGCACCCATCAATGATACAGCCGACGCCCTTGCAGTGTGACTCTCCATAGGTCGTGACACGGAAGTGAGTTCCAAAGGTTGACATGGTAAAGTCCTGTTTATCTTCTTGTGATGGCGGTGGTGATTCAAGGAATGGTGCTGTACAAGTTCTTGCTGATGTCGCGAAGAATGGGTCGGAGATATGGTTCTTATTTCTGAAATAGGATAGGGAAGTAAGGGTGACTCAAGAAGCTGGGACAACTGACTGTGCTCGATATTGCGCAGAATATGAAGGCTTAGTATCTGACACAGTCACCACCTTCGAGTCATAGCTCCATGAACGCGGCGCCAGGCACAGCTCTGAAAAGAGTGGTACTCACACACACAGGGTTTCGTTTCCGCCGAGCATAAACAGCATCATGAGGATTATTACTCATGCATTTTTTATTTCATTTCTGTCCGGGCCATTGTAACCCATATCTATATTTTGTTCCTCATACAGAAAAGTTGCCCAGAAGTTCCGGCACCTGGACCTCGCCCGTGTTGATCTTCTCCACCATCTTGACCAGGTCGTAATTAATCTTCTCCGATACCACAGAGTCCTGCTTATAATCCGGATGGTTCTGCACAAACTGCCTCATCCACGACGCCGCCGTCATCAGCGTACCGTTCGCACGTTTCTTGATCAACTCCAAATACTTGCTAATCTCGCACCGTGTTTCAATGTCGATGTTCAGCGTATTCAAATAATTGTTGACAAGACCCAGCAAACCAGGGAATCCCTTCTCAGAGCTGCCGTTGATAATCTCGTCAATCGTCATCAGCTCGTACTCGTCCGAGCGATCCATTCCTGCTGAAAGATGAGCGTGTGCGCTTGTAGTCGTTCCACGAGGCAGGGTCGCATTGGCCACAAGGGGTGATCCAGAGGGTGTTCCTGCTGCTGGGGTGCCAGGGCGGGACTGAGGGAAGATTTGCTTACGGAAGTGGAACTTCTCCTGCAAGACAGCATTCCTATGATGGGCCACTTTCATGTTCTCATCCACCTACAAAATCATGAATAGGATCAAAAAAACTGTTAGCAACACTCTGAAAACTGGATATAGTTATTTCAATTCGTATTCAGCACAACAGGATCACATAGCTTACCTTGGAAATGGGAATGTAAAAGTTAGTGTTGAAGCTGAGAACAGCACGGGTGACAAGGACAATAAAGATCGCAAATGCCGCATTCTCAAAGTCTGTGAGCTGAATTTCCATAGATCGGAACTCGACACGCCAGCCAATGGGGCTCGTCTTGGAGGGCGGGGGCTTGAAGCGCATGGTCTGCCAATTTGTGCTCTGCAGGTTCTCAAAGTGATCCGTGCTCTCATGATCATCAACGTTCAGCAGCTCGTGGAAAATGACCAGAGGATCGCGGATAAAGAGATGGGAGATATGGCGGGCGAGCAGGTCGTCGATGCCGTTCTCGGACAGCTTCTTGTAAATGTCCTTGTCGTAAACCAGGGGTATATCGTTGTACTCGGGTTTGTTATTCGGGTCGTTGGAGATGTACGAGTCAATCGAATCGTAGCGCGACTTTGCAATCTTGTACTTGTTGTCCTTCAGTGGCTAGTAAGAGATCGTAAGATGATGCAGAAATGGTGCCATTTGACGTTCAGCACGCGTAACACTCAAAGATTTTTTCGTTATTTGCAACACATGGTCACAAACAGATGTGTAAGTAATATCCACACAATTTTTTTTGCCAAACGTTGATCGCAGTACCTTCAGTCCTCGCTCTTCCTCGGTTCTGTCGTCGACGGATTGAGCAATCACGTTCCATCTGCAATCCACATCGCTTAAATATCCGCGGTAGATCGGTGCAGCTGCTGTCAAAGCAAGCATGATGGGTCCCAATGTCGCCATCTGATCATAGATCTTACGAGCCTCCTCAACATTAACAGCCTGGAAGGTGATTTGCAGACAACAGCATCCCATGCCAAAGGCCATAGCGTCCATGTAAATATGATCCGGCAGCGCAGCGCCCTCTTCAATTGCATTCTTGTCCTCGGGATAATCGTGAAAAGTCGGGATAGTGGGGTCAATGAATGGCTTGGGCGTGTTCTTGTCATGGAAGATAGGCATGTTGATTGCCACCTTGGATCCACGGCGCCGGCGAATATTCGCAGTCAACGTTCTGATCAATTGAGTTGAGAGAGATGTACAACGCTTGAGTATCAAGGGAAAAAAAAAAAAATGGCGACTTTGACCATTGACACTCTTCGCTCATAAAGTAACTTGGCAAGAATGCTGTCCTGTCGAAAACTTACGGAAAGCGAGCGTGGGCATTGATAATCTCGTCAGGCACGAAAAGACTGCGGGCAGCAGGTCCATGGGGCTCGTGATGGGGATCCAGACCGTCACCAGCACATCCAAGACGCGGGTACGATGTCAAAGTGAGAGGAACCTCATTCGGCTTCATGAATTTCTTGGCCAGTTCACGTCTATCATTCAGAGAAATAAGAATTAAGCAGCTGTGTTAGCACTTTTTGGAGCCTGAATGCCTAAGTGCCGATTGGAAATTCAAAGCAGTACCTAAGTTTCATATTCCGTTCGACGGCCAGCAGATCGCGAGGAAGACCCATGTAGGGCTCGCCAGGAGTGCCCTCCAGCATGTAGCGACCATACTCTGGATGCCAGGAGGAGTTGACTAGCAGTCTTTTGAGAACAGATTAGCTTAGTCGAGTTAGCAATAGGACAGTTTGCTTGGTTTTTTACAACGTAACCATGGCATTGGCATTGGTATTGGTATTGGACCGGTCGATCTTGCTCGCACTTTACTTACTTCTTGGCAGGGTTAATCATTGCCTCCTCCTCTTCCTTGGCCAGCTCCTGGAGGATTTCCCAGACACGCAGACTGAGCTTGGCACGCTGGTTCTTATCGTCGTAGCTGATAACCATGTACTCGATCTCATCGCCCCAGAGAAGACAGTCTTTCTGGGAGTCCTTGGTAGCTTCCCAGAGGTTGAGAAACTGAATGATACCGTGGGTGCGGACGTGGTCGGCGTACTGTTTGGCCTCCTCCCAAGGCATGGGTGTTCCGAGCGACAGCAGACCCATGGTGTATGAATGAGTGGTTGGATGAAGAGGAAAGGAAACGGAATGAGAGAAGAGAGGGAGAGAAGGGAAGGAAGCGTGTAAAGAGAGGAGGAGGAGGAGGAAGAGAAGAGAACTTAGGAATAAAAAGAATAAGGTACAGTTGCTGGAGGCCAACACTGCTAACACAAACACAAACACGGTCCACGTTGGGAAGGAGCGCAATTGGCCGTGAGAAGGAAAACGGTGTTCCCTCCTTCCCCTTAACACATTAGTAATTGATAGAAAAATTTTCGGCGCACCTTCTGCTGCGATCGAGGAAAGGACACAGAACCCAAAAGCCTAAAGGATCCACGCAACAGGTACGAAGCAGCCCCCACCCCCCATTGGGGGCTGCAGTAGGAGGCCTATGTCGTGGGAGCCCCTTGGCCACGACATGGCGCGCTAGGCCTATTTTTAGCTCCATCCTTGCTGACGAATCCAACAAACATGTAGATATCCCAACGTATCATCGGCTCAATTGACCCCAGTTATCAATTGCAAAGTAGGTTTCCCTCTGGCCCGCAATATGGCTCTACTCTCTCTTCATGGGCGGAAAATGCGACTGCGCAGAGACACTCGTATGTATGGCAACAACTGACGCGAGGCGTTGCCACTAAACGCGTCCTTGGCTAGCTCCGACTACGCCCATACGTACACAAACACACTCACTGCTCATCATGTACGTTGCGGTGCCTACATCCCTTTCAGGGACCACGTCCCTATGTTCTGGACTTGGGCTGGAGATGTGCTTCCCATCGGCATACGCCTAATGTTTCTTCGGTCCCTTTTTACAGCGGCTTTTTTTTCTTTTTTTTTTATTAACATAAATCCCCATGAGCACCGGTCCCTTTTTACAGCGGCGGGAATGTGTCGAGCCTAGATATTTTCACTCGGTCGTGTGGAAGACACGCTCTTCGATTCGTCCAACAGGACACACCTTTGTGCGGCCTGTATGCGTGTGTTTGTGGTTTGATTCCATGCAACTAATTTGGCTGAGGAAAGAAAAAAGAAGATTGGGAAGACACAAAAGTCCAATAATCCGGGAGTGCAAACAGGGCCCAGCTGAGCCCCACCAACAGTCAAGGATTGACTTTTACTAATTCAGGTACACTCTTTTTTTTACCGCGGGGCAGCACCATCGGTCGGGACGACCTCAACGACTCGCGAGAGCACTTGCTCATCCTTCTGAATTCCTTTTCCTCATTCCTTTTTCTAGGGACTCGATTCTCATCTCATCTTCTTTCCTCTATTCCTTCTTTCTCTCTCTCGTCCCCACCAAACATCACCACCAACCACCCAAGTGCGATACTATACTATATCCCATCATGGCTCCAGCTGTCCCACCCGCGGTCATCTTCGACCTTCAAAACGTCCACACAGCACTCTCTGCCCCTGTGCCTGACCAAGAAGCCCTTGTCAACATCATTGGTATGTGTCTCTGTTATGGTGCACTTTGCCAGGAAATCCCCCCCTTTTACATCCCTTCTATTGTACATGTACCTGATTGGCCCACATGTTATCCCCTCTACTAATTGAAAACGAATACCTATAGGACGAAGAGAGTACCAGCAGTTGGTTAACCTTGCTCGCCACTACAAGGCCACGTACTCGGTCGATCTTTCCGCAGAGCTCAACAGGCGCATCATCGGAAGCGTGGGATCATTACTGGCGGGTGCCTGTCAGCACAAGATTTTGGCTCAAGTTCACTACCTTCATCGTGCAGGCAAATCCAACCGCAAGTACGAGGCCCTGAGGAAGAAGGACACCGCTGTCGAGGTCTTTTGCGAGGCAAGTTATTTTATTTTTGCATCTTTGCGCTCACTGCATCTACACCGCTCGTTTTTCTCGCTCGGTGCACCGCTCAAGCACCGCTTATGCATTGGTCATGTTTGTGGGTATCACCATGCAGGAAAGAACGTGTGGAAGGCAAAATAAATGAAGTAAGCACAGATAAAGAAACGAAACCAATCTGACATGGGAGCAACATCCCGTTTTCTTATAGATCTTGGTGGGAAGAACCCCCGAGGACTTACGGGAACTCCGCGAGGCGTTTACCGCTGTGCACAATGCTGACATCCAGGCGCACGTTCTCTCCTACCTTAAAGATGATCTCACCAAGACCTTTTTCATTGACATCCTCAAGGTAAAATATACATTTGCATGGCTCCAGAAACAAAAGCAGCAACAGCAAATAGTTTTGTTTCATGGGTAATGTACTAATTTTTTTAACATTCTTTTCTTTTTTGTTACTCTTTTTCAAATAAATTATTTCCGGCGGTACAGGACAAGGAAGATAAGCCTGTGGAGAATGTCGGGGCAGAGATCGAGCGCCTGCACCAACTGCTCCAAGCACAGGAAATCCCCGCGTTGCTCAAATACGTTTCCTCGCTCACCACAGCTCAGCTCCATACCGTCGTCAAATCTTACAATGCCCACTACATGGACGCGCACGTAGTGACGACCATTGAGAAAAACTTCAAGCACAAAGGCGAACATATTGATATCATCCTGTTTACAATCATGCAGGCGGCCGACCCTGCCCGCCATGTTTCCCTGTTGTTTGAAGAGTCGATGTCGGGCCTGGGTACCAATGAGGATCAGCTTTCGAGACTGGTCGTAGTTAACCGCGGAAAGTTCATGGATAAGGTCAAGGCCACATACCAAATGGACTACAGCCGTACTTTGGCGGACCGTGTCAGGGTAAGTCGCGTTTTCTGATTGGTATAAGATCGATAGGACACGTCCATATTCTGGCGCACGGGAAATGTACGGTATTGCTCATCGCATTCTCCCCTTGTTCATTTCATAGGGAGATACATCGGGTCTTTATAGCAACTTGATCTGTCATATGATTAACCAAACCATCTAAATGCTTTGAGCAGAAGTATGTCCGTGGGGCACTGAGACATGGCGCGATTGTAAAGCAGTTGCATATAGCAAAATTAAATTATCAGACGAGAAAAGGAATGCGTGGGCTACAATGCTCCTTGAAAGCTGCTTCATGGCTGGTTTCTTCTCAAAGTGGAAATGAAAATAGAGACATGGACTGTTTGCATCGAGGATTCTCCACTTTTTGCTCCTCAGAAGGCTGTTTCCGATTTGCGAGACCCTTTGACCAATTCAAGAACTTATGCATCGGGAGATTATGCGCCTACTATAGCTATCTATGTCCAGTAGACGCGATGGGCACAATCATCTAGCCAAGCATACACGTCTAGATGCCCTCAGCGCTCTGGGGTGCAGGGTAGGACTCCAGTTAGTTTAAAGGAAATTGGTATTGGTAAACTTTTTTTAAAGTACGCCAACGTTTACACTCCTTTCATTTTTTATAAAAAAGCTTATTGGTCTCACCCTTTCATCAACAGAGCGCCAATAGCGCCAGCTCTACTAGTCTCCACAGAAACCCATAGACTGGCATCCACACCATCCACATGGTCCAGCCCTCATCCTCTGCGCTCAAAACTATCCCCTGTGCTGGTAGCTATCAAATATCGAAGCAGCTACAGCAGCCATTACACTCGCTCTCAGTTGACATAGCAAAACCATGAATTGCCAGCCTGCTGTCTCCACAGCTGTCTCCGGACTTTTACGGATCCAGCGATCCATATCCTTAGATATCTAAGGAGCAGTTCGAGGCCATCAAGCCCAACAAGAAAGTTCAAGAATTTTATCGAGAACAAAATGAACTCATTACCAATCTCTTGGACCCGCCCGAGAACCGAGGGGGGCACGTTGACCAAGAAGAGAGGGTCAGCTTAAGATAATAAATGGATGCCTTGAACATGGGCATAGTAACATTCGTTGCTGAGAGGAATACGACAAGAAGTATCGATAACTGCTTGCGACACGACAGGCTGTTTGACGAATGTGATGCTGTTCTTGTTACAGCTGTATGCTGCTATTTCATCAAAGTCACTGTCGATGTTTGCGGCCATGGCCGGCTCGTTCATGGACCTACTCTTGGATATCATTCTTATTTATACCGTTTGAGCGCCGACCAAGAACAATCGGTTCAAGAATCCATCTCTATGCAATTGTACACCATACATAGCAGATTGGCGGTAGCGATTGTTCTCCATTGAGGAGATACTTTGTTAACCACTAGACCTTGGAATACTATCCTCCTGGGGATAACCGTGTATGGAACTATAGGAATGGTTGTATTTAGGCCCACCCAGGGCCACAACAATATTGCAACTCACTGTATATGTCGTACTGCTACCATTCACTGCAGCTTTATTATGCGGTTCGAATGAAATATGAACGTTGGCATTTATTAACCATCGTTCACTCCTTTGTGTTTTCAAATGATGTACTGCTATTGCTAGATTGAATCGGTTAGGACATCGCTCGAAGGGAAGGAAAAGGCACCCATGCTCAACGTGCTCGCCTTTGTCTTTTATGGGAGTCGCTTCGATAGGTGTCAGCAACGGGGACTCCAACTGAACCATTTTTCTCAGGCGTATGCTGCTGTAAATATACATCATTAACACTTTTTTATTCAACCTGCTAAGCTTGCTATCGAGCAGGCGTGGCGCCGTTCATCTACTGCAAGTCACTGTCCCATTAGGGTATAACACTGCAAAGACCTTGGTGCAGGATCACGGAAACGATCTGATGGTCAATGGATTGGGCCTGATTACGTTGTTACACGGTCAATTTTGCTGGTGACTAGTTCCAGTAAGTACCGTTGCCGTGGCACTGATCGCCCTTCGTTTGAGGGTCTGAACAGCCTATGGTGAGCGCCGGCACAAGAAAGGAGCACTATTACGCGATCTTAGATGTATGCCATATATAGTCGAGGCTGCCTGTGTTTCCTTCTTGTAGTGTTAGTCAATAGAGTGAATCCACCTCATTGTCAGCAAGGCTGCAAATCCAGCTTTCTTGAAGGAGTTGACATATCTTTGAGAAGACGAAACTATGCAAGCACTGTCCTACTGTATGCTATCGGTGCAGAATTTGGCAGGCAGGCACATGCGCAGCATATCATGCTAGAAAAAGCTTGCATATGGAGGTGAATATGATCACAGCACCCGACACACCTCTGATCGAGAACCATGGTATCAGCGTGAGCCATTAGGTAACGAGAGCTACACTCTGGCCTCAACTAGCGATATTCGGTTTCTACTGTGGTGCCTTAAAGCGCTGTAGATCAGATTGGAGGCATTACCAAATGTCGGACGCGCGTTTGTCCATATATAATATGCGACTTCGCATGCGCCAGAACACTGCATGTCCAAGTAAAAAAGAGTTGCTGGCAAGAGATGGATGCCACTGACACCTAGTGCAGGCAGGCAGACAACCAGACAGGCAGGCGGATGGCAAGTGGATCAAAGGCATGCCGCCTACAGATGCCTACATATACCAACCATCCTGAATAGCGTCTCGAAGCTATACGCGTAAAATGCCAACCAAGGAATGCTTTTGTTGATAGCCTAGCGTGTTTAGAGATGACACGACATTCTATTGGCCAGGGCAGGTGCGGTTCAGGGCAGTGCGGAAAATAAAGTTGCGGCGCGCTCCTGTAGCCAATTATCGATCAAGACAATGCAGGGACAAGGAAGAACTCTCCAGAGTGTGCTCATTAAGAGGCCGGGAAATAAAGTAGACACCTAAGCTGCGGGCTTGCCCATAGATGAGAATGAGTCATCGCCCTTCTCATCCCTCATTCCTTCTTCCTTCTTCCTTCTTCCGTCTTTTGACTCTGCATCTGTTTTCTCGTGCCGCAACCAGACCAACCCCTCTATGGGCATCCTCAACCCCGTCTGCGTTGCCACCGATGGTACATATGTCTACGCACTGGCATATGCCCCGTCCTTCAACGACTCGTCTTCCTCCTACAACATCCTCATCAAGTCCAACGCAAACCCTCCTTATACTCTCGACAACCTCTCCTGGACTCTAGTCAGCGCAGTGCCTCGGGATGCCTACTACTATCTCGGAGAAGACAACATCAATGGCCACGATTATGGCTGCTTAGCCGATGCCACAGGAGTCTTTACCGCGCTCGCACGCTCCTCCAAGAGCTCCAGGGATGCCGCCGCAGACAATGTGTCCCGAGGACTGCAGTACCAACCTTACGGAAATGTGTGGAAGAATGTCAGCACCTCGCAGGGATACGTCTGGAACGAACTCAGCAGCTCTCAACTGGTCAACATCAAGGACCCTGTAACAGGTGTAACCGCCATCATTCATGCTTCGATCGCGAGTCATAACTCGACCAGCGCCATCGCCGTCGCAGCTCTGAATACCAATACTCTCACTATGATCCAGAATCCGTCAATGTGGTCCTTGGTAAGGTACTGCTGACTCTCCAGAACAGGGTATAAGGGCCACAAACGTCAACTAACGCTAACCCTATTGGATGACGACAGGACCTCAACAAGTTTGGTCTGATGCAGGGACTGGCAATTCTAGGAAACGGCACAATGTATGGCATAGGCAGGAACTTGACAAGCAACTTCATGCAGCGTGCAGCCTTGACAGCAATCCCTATCTCAAATGGATCAACAGTCGCACCGTTTGAGGATTCTCTCATACCCATAAGTGCGGATGGCCTTGCCGGTGCCTGTGGAGACGACATAAACGGTTTAAACATGCTCCCTTGGGGAAATAAGATCGTATTCACCTGCGCAGTAAGTAAACCCCGTCACTCAGTGAGCACAGCTGCCATAAGCATCAACATTCACTATTTGTGCTCTTACGCCCTCTTTTTAATGCTTCTCCCATATCAGTCGCCATCTTCAGCACAATCTTATTCCGACGTGTTTATTTACGATGGGAAGCTATCCAGTATGCTCGGCTACTACCCTGGAGCCTTTGATAATTTCAGGTCGTCCGCAATTGTCCAAGGCAGCTCTGGGTCCTACATATTTATACACAACAGCACGGGCGTTTTTAGTGCGCCAGTCGAAGGAGGTTTCGTAGGGATATGGCAAAGCTCTAATGCCAGGATCAGCATCGCGGATCACTATGGAAGCAACCCCAACCCAAGCAGTGTACCCGCGTCAACACAACCATCATCTTCAACGCAAAATCTAGGAAACGGAACGGGTAGCAGTAGTAACGCGGGGCTGATAGGAGGTGTATGTGCAGCTCTTGTTGTCCTTGCAGCGGCAGTGTATGCTTTTTACAACCGTAGACGACGCCAGGCCCAGAACAAGGTCCAGCCACCAGCTCAGCCAGTTCAGCAACAACTCCCAGGTGCCATATGCGACGGTAAATTCGACGCGGGCGATGCGCCTTTTGAAGCGACTATGAAATCGGAAGTATTGGGTCCGTGGCCTAGACATGTGCGCACGGTTCAACAGCATCAACAGCAACATTTCCTCTATTTACCGTCAGTTCCTCCCACTGGGACTACACCGCCGTACTTGCCGTCCCTCCCTCTTGCAAGTAATATCTTAAATTCGCCGGGTGCTATGGACATTCAGTTGCCGGTCATAATCCACGCACCCCACACAAGCCCTGTCATTTCCCTCATCGAGCCGAACAGTAGCCATTCTGTCTCTGCTTGGGAGCCCCAGCCCTTTATCCCTCCCAACGCCAATACGTCTCCACCAAGCTTGGACGCGTATCCTAGTAGTATCCACTCGCCGTCCCAGACCCAGACGCCAAGTGTCCCAAGGCGCACTAGGCCGAGCATCAACCAGATTCCTCTCAATTAGTTAAAGACACCCTTATATTCCTATGGCCCCATGCGAAGGACGAGTCAGCCGTTACTTGTCGAAATAGTTTCCAGCAGCATGCGTCGCGTCGCGTTTCTCGCAAGAGTCACACTCTACTTCATTAAGGGTTTTTGTAAACAGTTTAATTAAGCGTCGCGTCGTTTTTGTGTAATCTCTAGCCCTCCAGCTCCTTTCTTTTCATCCACCTCATCCATAACTCACCCTCGCCATGGCTGCCAGACTCGCGGACGAGATTGCAAAGGAGCGTGTAAACCACTACATCAACTTTCTCGACAGCGACGTAGGTTTCCCCTCGTGTTTTAAGGGCACCTTTATTCCATCTTGCGTCGTACCTGAAAAGTCGTAGTTTCACCACCGACTAAACGATTCCCTCGATCTACTAGCATGGCGTCAATGAGTACAAGAATGAAATCCGCAACATGGTTAACGCGGGTACAAAGCGTCTGGTCGTCAGTTTGGACCGTCTTAGAGACCACAACGTCGAGGAGACAACCAAGTGAGTTATCACACTGCAGAGGTTCCAGCAGAGTTCGTCCATGTCATTCAAGGGGAGCTCCTGCTGACTAAATTGCCCTTGCATATTTCTGGAAACATAGGCTTATGAACTCTCCTATGGAGTATATTCCAGCATTCACACAGGCGCTCATGGAGGTCGCAGAGACGATTCAGCCTGCAACGGATGGTGAAAGAGTCATGTACATTGGACTCAAGGGAAGCTTTGGAGATCATCATGTCAACCCTCGTACATTGCGCGCCAAGCATCTCGGAAAGCTTGTCTGCCTGGAGGGAATCGTTACGCGCTGTAAGTCTCGACGGACGGCAGCTATGCACTCAAATGATCCATTAAAACAGATTATTTTTCTGACTTTGACGGCTCGATTGTGAACTCTTTAGGCGGATTGGTTAGACCAAAAGTCATTCACAGCGTGCACTACTGCCCAAAGACCGAAAACTTTCACGAGAAGAAATATATCGATGGCACTATGATGACAAATGAACTGGCGACGGGCTCCGCATACTTGCAGATGGACGATGACGGTAATCCATTGGAGACCGAGTTTGGAATGTCGACATATCGCGATCATCAGGGCATCTCTATTCAGGAAATGCCTGAGCGCGCACCCGCAGGCCAATTACCTCGCAGTATCGATGTGTTGTTGGACGATGATCTGGTCGACAAGGTCAAGCCTGGTGATAGAATTCAGGTCGTGGGTGTCTACAGGACCTTGGGAAGCAGAGATGCCAAGTCGACTTCATCTACTTTCAAGTATGTGACAAAAATTGACGGATCCGGACCATTTGGATTTGCATCATGTTTTGGATTGCTGCTAACTGTCGATTGTCACTTGCTACTTCAGGACTGTTATCCTCGCCAACTACATCACGACTTTTGCGGGCAAGGCTGGCAATGGTATTGCACAGCCTACTATCACCGATACTGATATTGAGAATATCAAGAAAGTTGCAAAGAGAAAGAAAGCTTTTGAGATTCTGTCCAACTCCCTTGCACCATCAATTTTTGGACATGAATACATCAAGAAGGCTGTCTTCCTAATGTTGCTCGGAGGCATGGAGAAGAATCTGAGCAATGGCACTCATATCAGAGGGTACGTCACAAGTCAGAAGCTGTCGATTGAAAACAGTGCTTTGTTGTAAAATCTGACACGGTATCTATTATCAATTACTAGAGATATCAACATTCTCATGGTGGGCGATCCATCAACAGCAAAGTCGCAGATCCTTCGATTCGTTCTGAACACTGCCCCTCTCGCCATCGCTACGACAGGCCGTGGATCTTCCGGTGTCGGTTTGACTGCGGCTGTGACGACAGACAAGGAGACTGGGGAGCGCAAGCTGGAGGCCGGAGCCATGGTGTTGGCCGATAGAGGAATTGTCTGCATTGATGAGTTTGACAAGATGTCGGATGTCGACCGAGTTGCGATTCACGAAGTCATGGAGCAGCAGACCGTGACGATTGCCAAGGCTGGAATCCACACCTCGCTGAACGCCCGTTGCAGCGTCATTGCTGCCGCCAACCCTATTTACGGACAGTATGACGAAGCCATTCCAGCGCATCGCAACATTGCCTTGCCGGACTCGCTATTATCGCGTTTCGATCTGTTGTTTGTGGTCACGGATAAACCCAATGACATTCGTGATAGACTAATTTCGGAACACGTCTTGCGCATGCATCGCTATGTTCCCCCCGGTGTTGAAGAAGGTAACTCTAGTGCATCTGAGCTCTTTGTTGTGATGAACTATTAACGGAAAGGCAGCATGTACTAACGAAGTTGACATCGTGTTATCGTATAGGTGCGCCCATTCCCGACATTGCAAAACAGAACTTGGACGTGGGAGCTGATGAGGAGGAAGTCAAGGATACACCAGTGTTTGAAAAGTACAATGAGCTGATCCACGGAGGTATTCAGAGCAGGAGCGCGCAAAAGAACATTCTCTCGATGGCATTCCTTAAGAAGTATATCCACTATGCCAAGTCCAGAATCAAGCCTGTGCTTACTCAGGGCGCTGCTGACAAGATTGCAAACGCATACACCGACATCCGAAACAAGGCGGTTGAGGACTCTCAAAAGGTATGGATAATTTTGCCTTTATATAGTTGATGACCGCGCCGTCATGAACTGAAGCGACGATGATAACCAATGTTTCATTTCCACAATCACTTTAGGTTGCACCCGCCACCGCCCGTACTTTAGAGACATTGATCCGTATTGCGACCGCACATGCAAAGGCCCGTTTGTCCAGCTTTGTACAGGATCAAGATGCGGAGGCAGCAATTGACATTCTCAAATTTGCATTATTCAAGGAGGCGCCGAAGAAGAAGTCGCGCAGCAAGAGAGTCCGTTATGACAGACCGCTTGGCGAGTCTGACACTGATGACAGCGACGATGACGATGAACAGGACGCACGACAGTCGACCAACGGCCAGAGGAGAACGTCTACCAGAGCTAGCCAGCCGTCGGTATCAGCCAAGGGCAAGGCGCCTGTTCGGGAGTCGCTGGAGGAGGGCATGGAGATGATGGACATTGATGGTGACCATGAAGTCGAGGAGGAATTGACGGCGACACGTAGGGTGTCTCGTCGTTCGCAGGGATCGTCTGCAGCGACCAACATTCCGTCGCAAGGCTCATCGACTGGCTCACGCATTAACGGATCACACTATGTCCCTGGAGGAGAGATCCACCCTAGCCGACAGGAACTGTTCCAGGCCCGGACGAACAGGCTGATCATGAACAGCGAAGAGGACAGTCTTGGATTTGAGGATCTGTTGTCGGCTGTAAACAAAGACCTGGAGATTGAGGAGCTCTTTGGACCGGCAGAGGCAACGGCAATTTTGAATAAGATGAACGACGCCAATAAGCTGATGTTCAGCGAGGGAGTGGTCTACAAAATTTAGATACGAGAATGACCAAGCGCGGCAAAAGCATACGTAAACTATTCAACAAGACCATAAAATAATGCATAATCTCTATATCTAATTTTATTGTTATAAAGCCAGGGGCTGATGAGGTCTATTGGAAGCGCTGGAGAGCCTTTTTGGGAAGGAAACGGCCCCACATCCTGAGGACGACTTTCTTGAAATAGGGACGGCGACCGGCAAGCGTTGCAACTGTGAGGAGGACACAGCTGTAAAGAGGTAGGGTTGTGCAGAGATAGGCGATCCGAAAGGACCAAGGGCCCTCCTTCATGGACCCATCCAACTTGAACACTATTATTGTACGAAGACATGAGTGGGAGAATGTTTTGGGTCAATGGTGGAGCAGCGACAACGATAAAAAAAAACACGATGAATAAGTGACCTTACCATCTCTGAGAAGAGGTTTGACGACCATGACGGTGGAGCTACCAGTGACAGCAAAGACGCCCTGAGAAAATGAAGGAAAAGGAGTTATTTTCAGATGTTTGCAAACAAAAAACTCAGGGACAAGGAAGATCAGTGTTACACAGACTTCATAAACCCACATGCTGATCGAAAAAAAGGAGAAAGATTCAGGGGAGTAGAACCATAGTCATCTCGCGTTATCTCGCCCTTGATTTTCACACCCATCAACAACAAAATGAGGAAAAGAAAGGAAAAAAATACTAGAAAAAGATACCATACTTACCATAATAATCGTCCATTCCTTCCACCAATTATAACTGAAGCGGACCCTTGTCATCTCTTCATGAAACGACAATGGGGCCTTACCGGTTACTGTTGCTGCTGCTGCTGCTGATTCTTCTGTCAAGAGCCTGGCTGCAGATCCTGCTGCAGAGGTCGAAGTCGCCGTAGCTGATGATGTTGACGAAGATGAGGACGAAGAAGACGTGTACTTTCGAGAAACAATCGATACTCTTGTCTGTTGCTTACGAATAAAAGAAGACATAATCGGTGTTGATGATGTTGGTGAAGCTGTCGAAGGATGTGAATAGGACAACGTGGAGGGCGATCCGGCTGGTCGGGTCGAGAGAGATCTGGCGTGAAGCAGGGAGCGCAGAGTTGCTGGGGCCGTATCAGCAGCGAAGGGTGAAGAAAGCGAAGAAGATGAAGGGGAGGGGTGATAGAATCGTTTCATGAGGGAATATGGGGTCGTGGTGGCAGGGGCTGATAAAGAGGAGGAAGGGGCGAGGGTGTGCTGCTGCGCTGAAGCAAAGACGAGTCGCCGGGTCGACTGCTGTGATAGGGATGAGCAAGTGGCCTGGGCCACTCGAGAGAACATGATTAGGGATCTAAATCGACGCACACGGGAGATGGAAAAGGAAGGAGTTGTGTTTGATTCCAACGAGCGAAGTAAGGGATGGGGAAGGAGGGGGAGAGAGGGAGGGAGGGATGACGTTCAGGAACAACAGAAATGATTCGTTGTTTTCGTTTGAACGAATGAGGAGTTCCACAGGGAGAAGCACAGTAGCAAAGACGGTTGTCACTTTGAAGATGACAAAGCCACATTGCGAGGAATAGGGAAAAAAGCAAAAAAGTGAAATTGGTCCACCCACTAAAAAAAAGGGAGGGGACGCGTGTCCAGCTGTGCTCGACATTCCACCTTTTTTTTTCACGCAACGCACAAAGCACATCAGGACGAACAAAAGATCAAGCAACCATGGTGAATTCATCAGCAAACGGCCTTCATCTCGACGATGAGACTCGTAACCAGGAGATCGTAACCAGTCTGCGCGGATTCCTTAAGCATCAGACGTATGTCAATAAAAAACAACACCTTGACACTAAAAACTATGCACGAAAACCACCTTGCTATATTGCACTGGACTCACGCACATCTATCCTATTTTCTTTAAACAATACGCCATGGGCAAATTGACAAATAGTGAACGAGTCTCATTATACAAGGAATTCAACGAGTATGTTCATATCCGAACACACAGCATTGGCATTGGCTATAAAAAATCCCCTCCCCTCCCCAGAGTCTATATTTCGTTTCGTTATATTGGAATGCTGATTGAGCCACTATCTTTCTTCGTTTGTAGTGCGTTCAAGGAATATACAGCAAAGCGAATGACATCAGAAGAATATGCGACGATCTGCAACATCGTCACCCAAGGATTCGTCGAGCTCTCGATCGAGATCCTGGCCCTTGAAGCCCACCTCGGAGGACCCACGCATACCTCTACCATAAACGGCTCCGCACCCACACCATCATCAACAACAACACTGACGGCAACAGAAACATCAATAGAGAGCACGCCCAACAGGATCTCCTTGGACTCACCAGAACACGCCCAACTAATCCGTCAAGTCCAATTGCTCGAAAAACAAAAGTTGGCCTTGACGGTTCAGGGTCAGAAGTGGGCGATGGCGAAACAGGAACAGGAGGCAGAGGATGAGAAGGAGCGGGAGGCAGAGCTTCAGACGGATCGTGTGGTGAGCATAGAAACGGAGGAGCAAGGTGATGAGGGTGTTGAGGCTGAGGTTGAGGCGACGGCTGTGCAAGGCAGCGATTCGCATACGCAGGCAGTGAATGGGGAAGGGATCAAGTTGTCTGGGGAGGAGTGGCAAGCCAAACTGGATGGGAACCGTGCAAGGTAAGGAAGAGCATTAAAGGCCAACATCATTTAGTATATTTGGTACAGACCGTCGATTGATTGATGATTTCTTCTACTCATCAATAGACTGAACGAGGTTGTGGAGGAGATCAACGACAAGTTGGCGGATATTCAGGAAGCCATTGCGGTTCTTGTGTTGTAGCAGAAGTAGAAAAATAAAGGAGCGAAACTTTATTGCTCCTTTTTCGATTCATACTTGTCCCGTGATAAGCATAAGGATTAAAGTATATACCAGTAGCAGAGAAGTAAACTTTTTTTTTCTTGCACTGTTGGTAACAGGTGTGATTGGGCCGTTGAAGGAAGAGAAAACGTGGGATTTCCCGCTTGTATGGTGGTGTGATGGGCACAAAGAAGCGGGGATACGGAGAAAGAACTGTCCAGAGGTTCATTTTTCTTGTAAAGACAGTTGGTACGACCGGCCAAAAATAACTCCGGCAGCCTTTGAGTTACCTAGAATGTCTGGATACTTTTTTCCACTAAGGGCGAAAAAGATCGTTGTGTGTGCGTGTGGGGGGGATCTCAGATTTAACCTTGGGAAGTGTATGTGTGAGGGTTTTTTAAAGCGGGTAAAGTCGGTCGACTTTGCGTGGTGATGATGATGATGATGATGATGACAAGCGTCTCGATGTTGCTCATTTCTTTCAGTCGGCGGAATGATGCGAGAGATAAGAATGTGCAACTGGAACAAAATGTGGTGGGTAAATACAAATAACAGGTTATATTTCTCACGCCCACTCAGCTGCAGTGCAGCAATAGGGACAGCTGCTAAGTAGAGTGTATGGAAAAAGAGGGTTGAGCTGGATGTGAAACGAACAGGGTTTTAAGGATAGATCCCATTGAGCTTCTTTCCGTTACCGACATTAATCAAAGAGGGCCTGGTTCCTGGGATCTCAACAAGAGGGATTTGATCTTTGTGGAGCGAGAAACAAAAAAAAAAAAAGTATGATGAACTGGAGACAGACTAGTTTAGGAAGGGATGCGTAGATCCCTCGGGTAGTGCGAATGCACTGTTACAGCATGGTGCCAGAGAGGGTATGTACAGCAGTGTAGAAATGCCCTTATGCCGTTTGAATGCATAGTCCTGCAGCACACACGTTGGGGCTGCTTCTTCCTTTCAGTGCAGAGAATGAGGGGGGAGGGGCGGCTTCCTCTTTTTTGCCCTCTTTTTCTTTGTCTGTTCCCGGGATCGAAATTCTCGCCCTTCCATGCGACATGCCTTTTTCAAACAAATAGAGTAATAGGGAAATAGAGTAGTGCGGCTCATATGCTTATATGCGGTAGTCTAAGGGGGCGTTTGAGTCGGATCTAAACAGACAAGGCCCGGGTTCGTGTGCTGTGTGGTGAGTGGGCCTGTTTCATTTTGGGTGGGCCCACTCTCGCACCCGCCCATCCGCCCATCCCACCCACCCTTCTTTTTTCAGTCTGCACTGCGCTCGATGCGACGCAAGTCTAGATGTAAACCAAGACTGCGATACACGCGGATAACCATCTTCCTCCCTCCTTCAATCGCTCGCTCTCTTTTCTTTTATCTGCCGGCCTTTCCTTTCCTTTCCTCCTCTTCTCTTCTTAACAACCTCCGCTTCCTCCCCTCCTCCCCTCCTCCTCCCTCCCCCCTCCCCACTCCCCGCCCCGTCTCTGCTGTCCAGCAATGCGTATCTTCGACAAGTTCTTCGGTGTCGTCGCACCCGCCACCGGTGCCCCCATCCTCGCTGGCCTCTATGCCATCGTCGGCTTAGTCTTCGCCATCCTCTGCTTCGGTCGCTGTAAGTGCCATCCATCCAGCATCCAGCATTCAGCATCCCAGCCTACCCCTCTACACACACGCACACGTCTCAACAACAATATCCACTTTACATTCAGCTCGGAACATGGCACCGAGTGCGAGATCGCATATAAAATTATCACACCTTGCCCTCATACCCATCCATCCACTCCACTCCACCCCACTCTACTCTGCCGTATCACATTTGCAGAGCATCGACCGTGCTCCCTCCTCCCTCCCTTGCCTCCTTTTACATGTCGTAATGGATTTTCCAAAGATTCTTTTTTCAAAAGGAGGAGCCAGAGAACCAGGGAGTCACGGAGCCAGGAACCAAAGGGGAAATATCCCATCTCCCTTTTTATTGTGATTACCGGGGATTCGACCTTTCTTTTTTAGCATAATGTCCGATAAGAACACACCGATCTTACCGGAATTATCTTCTATGTTTTTGGGCGCTCATTTCTTCCCCCCTCCGCATTCTCCAGTGTCATCCCCTGCTCGTTTGATCTTGCTCTGTGGGGCTGGATTGAAGTGGGTAGCAAGGCCCGCTTAAGGAAAAGGAAATTCGAGACTATCTCTACCTCTATGGCACCACTGTTTTCATCTCTTCGTCATTCACCCGGGCTGCTGCTCTCATATCTCGTGTAATCCCCATGGGGAATTATTTTTTGCGTTTACCGTTCTTACCGGGGATTGATGATTCTGCGCACGAACACAAACAAGATAAAATGCGCTATTTATTTATTTATTTCTTCACACGCCTTATGGAGATGTCCCGACGGATACCGTTCTTTATCTCTTGATACACGATACTAAAAACATGCTGGCTTACTTTTAATAGGGATCATGCCTCATGCCGAGACCGATCTCGCCATCCCTTGGGCTGTTATCTGCCTTCTCCTCCTCGTCACCGGTGCCTATGGTCTCCATGCCACTCTCAAGGTACTGAACCGACACAAACACGAAATCAGCGGACGCATGAATTCTAGCGTATATCACAAACGAACCCTTTTGATTATTATTATTATTATTGACGCTTTGCCGATCACTTGAAAAAATAATAGGGCAGCACCTGGCACCGTCGCCAGTTCGTCTCCTTCTCCTGGGGATTCCTTCTGATGTTCCTTTGCTGGGCCATTGTCTACATTGCCGTTGAGGAGCACCACGTCGAGAAGGTCAACAAAGGTTGTGAGGAGCGCAACCCCAGCTGGGGTGAGGGAGTGTGCGATTCTCGCCGCAAGAAGGCTGCGACCATTGCCACTGCCCTTGTCACCGTCGGCGCGATCCTTGGTTTCTACTTCACCTTGGTCCTCTCCAAGTGGGTCGGCGGTCTCGAGTGGGAGGAGCACCTCGAGAAGGAGAGACGTCTCGAACAGTGGCGCAATGGCCACGGAGAGAAACCCGAGGACGTTGTTGTGAACGTCTAGACCAAAGTCTGGCTCACCATTCATTAGAACATAGCTCCCTCCTGGGAATAAACCCGTAATACGTATCTGTAGCCCAGCATCGCATTTGTAACCTGGTTGTTCTCTGGCCCTCCTGGGCAGTCACCAGAAAGAAAAAAAAATTGAGCAGTCAGTCAGTCTAGCGAGTTTCGAGGTGCTTTGAAAGAAAAGGGGTCGAGGGGGATCCGTTTCCTCGCTTTCTTGATCTCTGCGCCATCGCTCCTCTTTTCATCCTCATCCCCTCAGGAATCCAACACTTCCAGTCATGAGCGAGCAGAACGACAACACCACCCCTCCCACCAACAAGCTCTCGGGATTGAACCTGAACCCCAACGCTGGCAGCTTCATCCCCCGCGTTGCAGCCAAGCCCTTCGTGCCCTCATGGATGCCCCAGCCCGCTGCTGCCGCCCCTCCCGCAGCACCCTCCTCCTCGGGTATCGACTTCAACCGTCCTCCCCCCGCTGCTGTCTTGAACAAGAGCGCTGAGACCGCCCCTGCCCCTGCCCCTGATTCCTCGGCAATCGACTTCAATCGTCCTCCCCCTGCAGCCGTCTTGAACAAGACCGTCGAAACCGCCCCTGCTCCCGCAGCTGCTCCTGCCCCCAAGCCCGCTTCGCCAGCACCCAAGGCCCCTGTCGCTGAGGCACCGAAGAAAAAGGCTGAGGCACCTAAGCCCGCCCCCGCCCCCGCCGCTGCTCCTGCACCCGTCGAGGAAGAAGAGGATGTCGATCAAGAGACATTGGACGAGTTTTTCGGAAAGGAACACGTCAACGTTATCTTTATCGGACACGTCGATGCCGGAAAGTCGACCATGGGAGGCCGTATCCTGTAAGCAACTTGTTAGCACTGACATAAGGCTTTTTTTTTTTTTTTTTTTTTTTTTTTTTTTTTGGGTGCTTGTCACTGGACTTTGTATGACACTGCTAATCATGGATGATGTTTTGTCAATTCTTAGGGAGGCCACTGGAATGATCGACAAGAGAACTCTGGAAAAGTACGAGAAAGACGCCAAGGAGGTCGGAAGAGATTCTTGGTGGTTGTCCTGGGCTTTGGATACCAACGCTGAGGAGCGTGCCAAGGTAAGAACAGCATGGGATGCAAATGTTGACCGATATGCAGGACATTTAGTGGCGATAAACTTATCATCGTCCGATTCTTTTCGATCCGATATTTTGTTGCACGATCCTATAGGGTAAGACTGTCGAGTGCGGACGTGCTTATTTCGAGACCGATCTCCGCCGCTATACCATCTTGGACGCTCCTGGGCATAAGACCTATGTTCCCAGCATGATCGGAGGTGCCGCACAAGCAGACTGTGCTGTTTTGGTTATCTCTGCTCGTAAGGGAGAGTTCGAGACTGGATTCGAAAACGGTGGACAGACCCGTGAACACGCCCAGTTGGCCAAGAGCGGAGGAGTCAACAAGCTGGTGGTTGTGATCAACAAGATGGACGACCCTACCGTGAACTGGTCCAAGGAGAGATACGATGAGTGTGTTTCCAAACTGACACCCTTTTTGAAGGCGAACGGATACAACATGAAGACCGATGTCGTGTTCATGCCCGTTTCTGGATTCACCGGAGCCAACATCAAGAAGAGTCTCGACGCCAAGGAGTGCGACTGGTACAAGGGACCCTCGCTGTTGGATTATCTGGATCAGCTCAAGATGGCCGAGCGCAAGGTTGGAGCTCCTCTTCGCATGCCCATCAGTGAAAAATACAAGGACATGGGTACGGTCGTCGTCGGAAAGATTGAGGCTGGGTCGATCAAGAAGGGTGCTCATCTTTTGATGATGCCCAACTCTGCCAAGGTCGAGGTCCAGGCCATCTTCAACGAACTTGAGGAGGAGATTCCAGCAGCGGCCGTTGGTGACAACATTCGTCTGCGTCTCCGTGGTATTGAAGAAGAAGTAAGTTGCGGAGTAATTCTATCACCATGGAACATATTTACATTCATAAGAAAGATCTGATCTAACATCTTGCTTTGTTATTCTTTCTTGTTCTACTAGGATATCATGATCGGATTCGTGCTCTGCAGCCCCAAAAACCCCATTCATGCTGTTTCGAGGTTCGAGGCTACTTTGGGAATTTTGGACCACAAGAACATTATCTGTGCCGGCTACACGGCAGTATTGCACATCCATAACGCGATTGAAGAGATCACACTATCGGCGATGCTTCATTTGATCGACAAGAAAACCGGTCGCAAGTCGAAGAGACCCCCACAGTTCTTGAAGAAGGGCCAGCAGGGTATTGTGATGATTGAGACCGGAGGACCGCTTTGTGTCGAGACGTTTGCAGATTCGCCTCGCATGGGTCGCTTCACGCTCCGTGATGAGGGCAAGACCATCGCCATCGGAAAGATTACCAAGCTCCACTACGATAACGAGAAAGCCTAAATCAGCATCAGCATCAACATCAGCATCGTGTCGCCGAATGCGGATACCATTAAAATAAATAAAGTAAGGCGAAGAACCCACAAAGGCATAGAACGAAATATTTATTTTATGATCATTTTGTGCGAAAGCTTTTTTCAAAGACTTGATGGGAAAACAGATTCGTGGGGGAAAAAAATTACTTGAATGGGCACGCTACCTCGGGTGCATGTTCATTTAGGGCGTACAAGAGTCGGGACTGAGGTAGTAAATCTCACATACCCCAGGATGGATCCAGAGACGCTACCGCCCAAGGCCACATCTTCAACACCACTCTGTTTTTGACGGCAGCACAGCAGGAAACGTCCACATGTCCAAATTCTATTCCATCATATTTCTAAAAAGGTGACCCTGAAGTCCCTGATGTCATTATTTCATCTTTTCAGCTCCATATAAAACCCTTTACCGCTCCCTTCACTTTTCTCATAACCACAAACACTCTCTCACTTCCTTTCATCCACCCAAGCTCTTCCTTCACCCTTCTCAAAATCCCAAAATATCAACAATGACTGAACGCATGTCAAACACCCTGAACGCCTATCTCGGCTCCGCAAAGCAATCCATCGGCGAAACAACCGGTAACCGCGAGCTCGCTGCCAGTGGTGCCGCCCAAAAGACCCAAGCCGAGGAATCCCAACGCCTTGCCGACGCCGACACCCAAACAAAGGGACTCGGCCACTCCTTCGAAGGTCAGGCGCAGGAAAAGATCGGTTCCTTGACTGGCGATAAAGCCATGCAGGCCCGTGGAGTGGCCAACCAGGCACTCGGAGACGCTCAGCAGAGTGTCGGAGCAAACAAAACCTCTGTGCCGACCGACTAAACCGACCGACCAACCAACCAACCATGCAGAGATACCAGTTGTAGCAAACTACAAACAAACAGTGCTTAAATGAGCATAGCACTTGTAATTATGTAAAATAAAATGAATACTTTTTTTTTTTATTCCCTATCGTGCAAAAACGAGCAACCCCTGTTATCCATATTCATATTCATATCCATCTCCATGATCATGTCTCTATTGTGGTGTTCCTGTTTCCTTCTCTACCCTCAATGACAATCAGAAAACGAATGCGACGGGGTACATGTCCTTTCAGGCTTTTCCTCCGATCAGCGACCAGCTAGCATTGACGCTGTTGTATCGTACTTCCTGGTCTGGGTGCGACATCAGCTCCATAATTCTTTGCTTGACACCAATTTCCTGCAAAAACCTATCGTCAACAAGATTATCTCTTCGTTAGTGTCTCTGCAACACTAATTACTCGCGAGACAAAACATCAGTGCCTTAGTACGCTCCATTGACCCTACTTTTTGCTGCTCGAGTCGCGCTTGACGTATTGTCCAATATCACTAGCGGCGACCGAAAGAACAATAGAATCGCTCGACGTGCTCAAAAGACGAGCCAGAGTCCTATGGCAATGTCAAGCAAATCGGAACGGATATAGCTGTCAGTTTTTAGTGCTCTCAGCATGATAAAGACAAACCAACCGTTACCCCCACAATAGTCGTACTTAAGCAGGGCATAGTTCTCCTTCTTGAGTTCTTTCCAGTTCTTGTCCCAGAACTGATCCGACAAATGAGGTGGCGACCATGTCAATCGTCCAGACTGCAGCTCGGCCAGATAGACCTCAAACGTACTAGCAATCAAAAAATAAAAAAATAAAATAAAAAAATAAAATAAAAAAAAAGCACATGTTAGATGCCAAATACAGTGATACTCCGTATCCAATTTTGCACTCCTTTTCGCAACAGCTTTTTAGCGGCCATCCTTACGTTAGTGTCTGGAAGTTCTCCTCGAGTTCTGCCTTCAAGTAGTTGATGTCCTCCAGAATATCGTTGTCAGACCATTTGCGCGTCGACAGATTTTCGCAGAACTGCAGCATCTTGACTGCAGCCATTGCAGCCACATTAGCCTCAGGTGCCTTCTCGGCCAAGTTCTACAACGAGACAGAGAGTTATGAGCGTGCGTGTGTGAGTGTGTATGTGTGTTCGAGTGAGTAAATCGTAAATTAGAGGAACATCCAGCATATCGAGCAGCGACAAAAGCAGACCGACAACCTACTCTGAAAGTTGCGATAGTGACACGAATGACCTTCTCCTTGATCGCCGACTTTGCAATCTCGACCAGCTGTGGGATCATATCGTACCTCCTATCACATCCCAAAAACACACAAGTCCTTGCATTTAGTAGCTGTCCATGTACCGAGCCTGGCTTCCTGTTGACTCAAAGCGCCTATCGTCTAGTTCATAACCCTTGCTTCCCTCCCGCATACCTATTCAGCTGCTCAGCAATCTCCTCGTTGAACGTCAACATCCAGAAGCAATAGATCACTTGGTACTGCATCTGCGGGTTGGGTGCATCGATCTTCAAGATCCGGATCAACGCATCGACTGCCTGTGGGGTATTCCAGTACACAATTCGGACATCCCTCTGGCGCAAGACTGACTCGACCACCTGGACGGCTAAGTCCACAGCGGCTGGGTTCTTGCTCTGCAGCTGTGCTGTCGTCCAGCGGAACAATTCTTCTGCAGCTTCAGTGTTAGGCTTCGGGGACGCGCACAGCAGGGTCGTCAGGATCTTGCTGGCCTGCAGCGGAACGAACTCATCTTCACTTCGAAGGCATCTGAGTGAACGGAAATGGGCACATTTTGGTGAGTTATCGTAAGGAATAACGAATTATCAATTGTCCACACTCAGTTCCTGCATAAAGCGCTGGGTGTGTCGCGAAAACGAAGATTGCAAGAAGTCGTACTTGAGAAGAGGGGCATAGGGCAAGGTTGGGTCGTGTCTGTTCATCTGCAAAAAGTATGCGGCGCGTTCTTCGTGGTCTATTGCAACAGATAAAGTGGGAGGATGTTAGTTTCGACAACACGCTTAGACCCGTCAAACTGCTGCCTTTTCTTTCTCGGCGATAACTGTTCTGTCATTACCGAGCAAGAGATCATCAATAAGAATGAGAATCGACTGGATCGTATCGACGCGAACCAGCTTCAGCAACAAATTGATCAAGAGCTCGCCATAGACATCTCGTTCCTAGATTGCATTTCCAATCCGTCGAGTAGATAAAATATCGAACACATGTTAATGAACAGCCTCGATAGATCCAGCAGAGGAGTGATGTTCGACCATATCGCAAGCTCACCTTATCGACGACTCTAGAGAGATCTTCGCCGGTCTTCTTGTCGATAGCTTTGATGTAGCTGAGCTCTGTCTCTGTGATAAGTGATGCACGTTGGTAGCCCTGTTGTTTGTATCAAGGTCAAAAGAAGGAGAGAGTGATTAGAACACGAATAAGCAACGGTTTGTTAAAGGCTCACCAACTCTCCAGTGCTGTCATGCTGTCATGCTCCTTGAATACTCTTTACCTCCCATGGAATCGGGCGTGCCCTGAGACTGGCGGTCAGCTCATTAAGGTATGCGTTTGAGACGAGGGCTAGAGGCACCTCAGGGACGGCATCGCTGTTGCTCTGTAACACCATGGCTGGTCCTGATCAAGTTGTCAAGCTGTCGAATGGAGGAGATTGCTGAAAGTATATCCCGGTCCTGACCAAGTCTGCTGAAGAAAGGATGGGGTGGCTGTGGGAACGATTAGAAGGTTAAAGGGAGACAAAGACACAAGGGAGACAATGGCAGACGAGTGAAATGAACGCGCGCGAGACGAAAGTGACGTTTTTTTTCTAGGTCCAGGCTGTTTCTGCTGGTGAACACATCCATATCAGGGCGTACGCGATAAAACCCAATTGTCGCTGTTTTCTCCATAAACGCCTTCCTTTTTTTTCTTTATTTCAATTGCGCATACCGTTCACGCGCTTTCCGCCGCGCTACCTCGCCAGGTGTCTCTGGTAGACGGGACGAGGCTGCAGCTGCAGCGCCCTGGGTCTGGAGTGCGCCAGATCCGAGTCCTGCCTTATTTTCGGTCACCATCAATTGCACCGGTTCGACTACACCTTGACCCGCCGCACCCAGTCCCATGCCTGCCTTCCATCCCATCTTGCTGAGCATTGCATGCCCCTTGTTGGTCTTGGCCACCGGTACATGGAACCCACTGGAGACCTCCTGTGAAGGGTATATTGGGGTCACAGATGGAACTGGCGACGATCGATCTGGGTTGTGCAACCGACGTTTGGCGGCCCTGTCGACATATCCTCTCGGTGAACCGCCTCCTCCTCCGCCTGCGGATGGGGAATCTCGTCGTTCTACTGCTCGCTTCGAAGGAATGGTTGTCTTGTCGGGTCCAGCCCACTTCTTCTTTAGACGGTTCATCTCCTCGATCCGCTCCCGTTCCATTTCCAGTCTTGACGGTCCTGACCATGTCGGCGAGCTCTTTACTACCGACTCCTCACGCTCCTTGTCGTCCAAGACCTCAATCTCATTGCCATCCGTTACTTGACACATTCCGCATATCCGCCCTTCTTCGTGCGCATGGATCTCGAATACTGTTGATCCCAACTGGAGCCGGTCTAGGTGCTTCAATGCAAAGGGCTGGCTGGCGGTCTTGGGCGCTGAAAGTCGCTCTCCATTAAGAAACGTCCCGTGGGTCGATCCGCAATCTGTGATCTGAAAACTATCTACATAGGTAGTTGGAGCCGCATGCTGATAATATTGCTGGTACTCTTCCATTTGTCGCTGGTACTCTCTGTACCGTTGCTGTTCCTCTGTTTCGCGTTCCTCATCGCCATCACTCTTTCCGTTCGGTTGCTCATAAGTCATATCCCGTGCGCCAGCGTCCGAGGATTCGTCGTATTCTCCTTCTTCCTTCTCGTCCGCATTTCCTTGTCTATTTGTCTCTTCTGCAGACTCTTCTTCCACCACTTCTCCCTGTGGTGTTTCATTGTGCGGATCAGTCACTGCTGCAGTCGTCTGCTCTTCATTCATTTCCAATGATCCTAATGTTGTCGGCCCTGCAGAATTTGGCGATATTGGTGTTGCTGTAGCTGATGTAGCATCGTTACTCCTGAACTCGTTTCCATCGTTCGTCTCTGCTACTTGTCCTGATCCATCTGCCGAAGATGATACCGTATCCTCGTGGTTACGGTCCTCCTGTGACACTTGCTGACGATCCAAATATATACTGGCATGGAACCGACTGATTTCCATCTCGACCATTCGAACACGCTTGCCCTGACCACTCAATGGCCTGTCCCTTCCGAACGATAGTCCTGATGCGTCCATCATGATCACACCACCAACCTTGAGGATATTCGACGAGATGACACACAATCTGAGGGTGGCATCGCTCTCTGGTGGCGCATCATAATGGGTCTGCCCTTCTCGACCGTATCCAGACATGTCCACCGCGTAACCGGTGATAGGGTCAATGTAATAGCCATTGTTGTCTTGTACGGAAGGATAGATGTCAGACCCTGCTCCTGCCCCTACGCCTGTTCCTATCCCTGCTCCTGATCCCGATCCTGATCCTGATACTGGGCCTTCAACAGGGACATAAGTCTCAGAAGCGGGGTCATAGTAAGAGAAGGTGCCTGTGGTGGCATCGTGCCACATTTGTGTTACGGGATGCTGAGCGAATGCTGGAGCCTCATGGGTCGGGTGGAATCCTTCAGGATGCGGGTGAGGGAATGCTACTCCGAACAGAGCATCCGCAGCAGCGTTGGCGGCGGCATTCTCCTCTTTCTCCTTCTGGTCCGAAGTCGTGCGTGCCTGGATGTAGCTGCTGAGTTCATGATCAAAGTCTGCCATGCTCGCTACATCGACTCGACAAAGGGTGAGGCGAAAAGGGATGAAAAAAATCGTAAAAATGCAAACATTCCTCAAGCAAATAAATGTCTTTATTTTGATGTTTTTTTTTTTTTTTTTTTTACACCTTGCGCCGAATGTTCCTGGGTTTACTAGCGCCAGCTTTCCGCTTCTTGAACACCGCTGCACCTGAACTCTCGCCATTTCCATCTTCGCTTGGCAGATCAGGATCGACTGGATATGTCTTTTCCACAATCTTGAATCCCCGCAAGTCCTCTGGATCAACCGCGTCCTCGTCATCATCCGCACCAGGGACGTAATGGTTTCCGCCCTCGTTATTTCTTAATTCATTGTCTGCCTGTATATGTGTCACTCTAGGTGCTGGGACCTCGACTGTTTGCCATTCGCCAGGCTGACCAACATTCTCGTCCCTGGCCACATTTGACGCCTGTAATGTCTCTGTTAATGATTTTGGTGCCGCCAATGGCTCCGAATTTGATCCAGTCGCGCCTGTTCCAGTTTTTGAAGTTGTTTTCGAAGATGGCTGTGTGTTTGCTGACGGCTCTACTCCAGATGGAGCCGCCTTTGCAGCTACTGGCGCGGTTGAAGTTGATGATGCCTTTGTGTCCTGTGTTGTTGGTCCCTTTGCAGATCCAAATGCCGGCGAAGATGTGTTTGGTTGGACGAGCCCTGCCTCCACATCCAGCTGATACTGCCTCATGGCCGCCTAATTTGAACACAGATACATAATGTCAGCAAACGTCTTTGCAAAAAGTGTTGATGCACTAACGACTGGATCATCGGTACTTTTTCAATCGCCTCCATCTGCTTGTTCATCCTGGCGGTCTCTGCCTCCTTTTCCTTGCCGCGCTGGTTCTGCTCGCGAAGAAACCGCTCCACGTTCTCCTTGTGCTTTGTTCCCGAGTCATGGATATTCCGTGTCTACAATCAAATGGACAGGTCATAAGGACGTGAGTAACTAGTAAAATTCGATAACGATAATAAGCGGTGCATTTAATTCTGTCCAGACTTTGGGCGTCTCTTACAGACTTGTTGTCGGTGATGTAGATCTTGCAAAAGCGACACCAGAATTTGGCGTTTGATTTCCAGTACTCGGCCCTAGATCACGGCATGAAATGTTGGTCAGTGCTCCATTCATTCCATAATGCGTTGTCATTAACATCCTGTTCGTGTTGATCCACGTAGTTTACATGGTTGAACGTCTCTTGGTGTGTAAGGTTCGAAGGTGTGCAATTGTGCTCCCGATCCAAAATGGGAAAAGAGTTTATTTGTTTTCCAGTCACTTTTCTTGTGACATCTACAATTTTCAGCTAATTTCGTTGTGACAATGATAGATCCCATTTTTGCAAAAAAATAAATTTTTGTGATATATAATTCTTCTAAAGTACGGGTACCTTAATTGTAGTTGCGAAAGCACTACATATTCTAAAAATGGAACGATACAGAGAAGATTAGCATGGCCCCTGCACAAGGATGACACGTATATCTTGAGTGGATAGCCCTACGGGGCACAATATTTTTTATTTTTTTTTGTCCATGTGTGCATAAGTACTGGCAAATGCGCCAGCGCCATGAAGAGACGCTTTTGTTGGTTTCGGACAATTGGTGGTTAGGCTCTGATATTTTTGATGCTGTGTTTTCGTGGTCCTTGTGGTCCATAGATAGTCCATCTGGCGGATATGGTGGATCGCTTCAATTCTAACGGGAACGTTAAACTACTTTCTGCATGCATATCACATACACATTTCTTTGTACTGTACTGATAGGAATTTTAGCATATCCTCCCTTTCAGTCCCCGTTCTTTAACATTCCAAAGAGAGCGGATCTGCTCGCTTGTGTTTGTGGTACATATAGTTTATAGTGAGTGGTTCATTATTGGTCGTACGCACAAACAGAAACTGTCGGTTTTCAGAGTCGCGGGCCACCTGGACGGATTGAGCTGCATGCCAACTTTTTTGTGCGACCAAGGATGAAGCAGCCATGACTGCAAAAAAAATGGTTAGCAAGATGTGTAATATGACGAATTGAGACGGTATCCAGTGATCGACCTCTGTGGATCTGCTTCTTTCCAGTATGGGGCAAAAGACCAGTAGACCACAGTGTAATGCAGCTGTGGCTGCCGGGCCCTTCCTTTGCGGTATCTTGGATTCTCTAGTAACACAAGGGGCCCACGAGAGATGGAGAGAGAGAGAACGCAGACATGTGCTTGGTTTAGCTCTCGTCGCACCCCTTGCTCTCAAGTGATGCGATTGACGGGTTCCCTCTTTTTGTGTTTGTTTGTTTTTTCTGTCGAGCCCAACCACGAACTACAAGAGTGCTGAGGGAAGACCAAAAATCCATTGGAGAGTAGGCGAGGAAAAAGACGTTATCGCTCAACCTCTAACTCGTTTGCATTTCCGCTAGTTTGTGTGGGAACGGTAGAGAGGCAGAGATGGATTTACAGAGCTCTTACAATGGCGTTGGCAATGACAATGGCGATGCAGTCTTGGGTCTTGACACAGCCAGCAACTAAGTACATGTCCAAAAAAAGAGATAGACGGGCAGACAACTAGATTCTTTCGTATGCATGGTTAATTCACTTCTGCGCTATATTTACGTTCCTAAATGACGGGTGCATGTTCCTTCTGCATGTATGGAAGAAGAAGAAGGATTGGCAGCGATTCAGGATGGGCTGAGTGGTGGGGTGCAATGGGCTCAGTGGGGGAAACGAAACTCAATTAGGGTGGTGTACTGTAGTGCGCTCAAGGAAGGATTCTCTGCAAAAGCCCAAGGCGCTAGGAATTCTCGGCAAAAGCCCCAAGACGCAGGGAAGAAGGGATGACATGGGTGCTCGTTAGACTTGGGCTACAGTGCCATAGTATAGTGGACTGAGATCCGCTTGTGGGCAGAGTGCTTTCCTTGGCTGCTTGGTTACAGGCGGTTATATGGTTGCTTGGTTGTTTGGTTGTTTGGCTGCGTTGCAGTCGTGCACAAGACCAGGGTATACTCTTTTTGGTGCAACGGGGCAAGGAACGACGGACACAGAAAAAAAACAAGAACGAACACATTCAAACAAATACAACCCACTCACTCGTACTGCATGCACTCTTTCCGTGCATTTTTGATCCGCTGCACTCGTCTCTCTTTTCCCTCTCTTTTCTCTTTGTTTCCTTCCCCCGTTACCATCGCCCAACCACTCGCAATACCATCGCAACACCCTCATCTACCACCCGGCCTGAATTCATAATGGAAGTCTGCCACTCCTCCTCGAAGTAAGCAAACGCATCGTCCACCTCCTTCACTAAACCCATAACCCATCCACACGCTCTCTCCAAATGCCGAATGCCAGATTCCAATTGCTATATTCTGTCCACTTCTCTCTATCCACATTTCATTCGTTCTCTCTCTTTCTCTCTCTTATAATACACTTCCTCCTATTCGTGGGCTAACCAAATCCTCGGTAATACCTCTCCATAGCATGTCGCTCCTTGATCAGCTCTTCGGTACAGACGGCCGCAAGCACAAGAACGAAGGCATCTGGAACTGGGTCAAGAACCAAACTAGCAAGCACAAAAACAAGAACAAGGACAGGGACAGCAATGGCCCTGTCCTGCTTGCCCGTTCCTTCTCCTGCACACCAGCATCTACCCACAATCGCTCAGATTCCTCCAACTCCTCGCGCTCAAATCGCGCCGCATCCTACGTATCCTTCACTTGCTCCCCTACATCTCCTACCTCCTCATTTGCACTCTCATATACTCAGACCTCAAATCCACATGACTCTTCCTCCTCTTCCCCTTCATCATCGTCTTCTTCTTCTTCCCCTTCATCATCTTCCTCCTCTTCCTGGTCTTCATCACCCACTAAGGTCTCCCGAGCAGCCTCTCCTTCCTCAAACATAACAGCAACATCTGCATCAAAGAGAGCGCCGTACTTGCATTCCCGACAAAGGACACAGAGCGTCGCGGCACCATCTATGCAATCCCCTGCAAAGAATGTTGGTAATGGTACTCAGGAGCAATTGTATCGGTACCCACATCAGAGTTACAGCCATGCAGATGGACCGATCAAGCGCTCAACCTCGGCCAGGTCCGCACCGGCACACCTCTACACCCACCGCAGGGGCAGTGTGTCTCATGAATCATTGGAGGGTCGGAGGGCCTTAAAGGGCAAGAGAGTTCAGCGAGACACGATGAACGAGATTTCGGAGACGGAGTCAAACTCAAGTACATTAGACATGTCTATCGGTAACCAGAAGCAACAGCAGATGCAACGTTGGGGAGGTTCCCATGGCGAATCTGCTCTCTCTGACGAAAGAGACCGAACCCGAGCGAGAAGTATCGAGATCCGACATGCCAAACGGGACGATTGGTGGTGGGAGTAACATACGAACTCGTATTCATATACAGATATGCATGCACAATCAAAAAAAAAATAGCCAGCAACAACAAACAAGCAGATAGCCGGCCTGCAGCCTGTACCATATAATTATGATAGTAATAGTAATAGTAATAGTAATAGTAATAGTAATAGTAATAGTAATAGTAATAGTAATAGTAATAGTAATAGTAATAGTAATAGTAATAGTAATAGTAATAGTAATCGAAAATAAACATAGCCTTTCACCATGGATCAGGTTCGAGTGCGGAATGTTGCACGGAATGCTGGGTGGGTTTCATCACATGATCAATTGCCCTGTTCAGGCAACCGTGTGCGCCCTCCACCAATCCGCTTGCGCCTGCTCCTGTTCCTGTCCTACCTGTTGTCTGATCTCTCTTCATCTCTGTAACCCACTCCCCTCTCCCATCGCCATCATGGATAATCCCATCTTCTCTGCTATCAACCAAACCTTCTTTACCGTTGCGCGGGTGGTTGAGGCTGTCCCTGGATCGGCCATCGCTATAAACTACATCAAAAACTCGTACCAAAACGATCCCTTTCGTGTGGTGCTCGAGCTCGGTTTGGCCATCTATGCCGTCAAGTACATGCTCTCGAAAAAGTATCGCATCGACCACACTCATATACCATTGACAGAGAAGGTACAAGGCAACCCTATCTTTTTTTTTTTTGCCCTTCAGCAGGATGCATCGTAGATCGCAAAGAAGCTGAATGAGGGCTTCATTATTGTTGGTAATTGATTGATAGGAAATTGATGAGCTCGTCGCAGAATGGCAGCCAGAGCCATTGGTCGGACCCATGTCTGACTTTCAGAAGCTTGAGCTGGAAAGGACGCAGGTTATCGTTGGGTAAGACAGTTGGCATGTTCAACTACTGCAGCTTTGACCCCACACAGAGTCCCCGCTTCTGACATGTCGTCCTGTTTTATTTTTTTTATTTTTTGCATCTTAAAGTGCGCAAGGACCAAAGCCCAAAGTCCAATCCTCTGGCAAGAACTTGCTGAACCTTGCCAGTGCCAACTATCTCGGATACATCACCAATGAAGACATGAAGGTAAGCAAACGGATCGTTCAAGGCAAGGTCGGGTACCACTTTGATGGTCAGACAAAGCGGTATACCGTTGACCGGAGCCACGGGACGTTGGTAAAAAATTAACCGATTTACCCATTCCGATAGGAAAAAGCAATCGAGACGCTCCACAACTATGGTGTTGGCTCATGCGGACCCCCAGGGTTCTACGGCACTCTTGGTGAGTCTTGACATTTCCTTGCACTTGTGGCTACAGGGGTTTGATCTAGCCCTCAATTGCTCCGCAACATAACCCCAAAGTGTAGACTCTCTAATATGCAGAGCTGTGCACTCTATGGTTCTTTGTGACACTTTGACAAAATAATAGATGTCCATATCAACCTGGAAAAAGATATTGCACGATTCTTGGGCACTGAATCATCAATTATCTATGCGCAAGGATTCTCGACTATCTCTTCAGTCATCGCTGCTTTCTCTAAGCGTGGAGACATCATCGTCGCGTATGTTGTGTTCTATTGAAGCCATAAATGCTCGATATATAGCTGAAACTCGTTCTCTGCGGGATGAGATTTAGTACTTAAAATATTCGTTGCTAACCACCTCCTCGCATGGCGTTATATTCGATATAGTGATGAGGGATCTAACTTTGCTATTCAAAAGGGCGCTCAAATTTCACGGTCAAACATCAAGTGGTTCAAGCACAATGATATGGCAGACCTGGAACGCGTTTTGCAATCGATCCAAAAGGAAATCGCCAACGTACGTTTTTTCGTTTTATGATGCTGGTCCACTTCTCGTTCACAGTCATATACTGCAGTCCAGGATCTGATCACCCTGTGTTATGTCCACTCATATAGAACAAGAAGAAGCACCTGACTCGCCGTTTCATCGTTACTGAGGGACTATTCCAAAACTATGGTGATATGGCACCCCTGGATAAAATCATGGAGCTGAAGCACAAATACAAATACCGTGTTATTCTGGACGAGTCCAACTCGTTTGGTCTCTTGGGCAAGACCGGTCGTGGTTTGACTGAGGTGTACAACATCCCTCCCAAGGAAGTTGATATGATTGTTGGATCGATGGCCAACTCTCTGTCGGCTGCCGGAGGTTTCTGTGCAGGACCTAAGGAGGTTGTAGATCATCAGCGTCTTTCTGGACAGGCATTTGTGTTCTCGGCCTCGATCCCTGCAATGCTCGCGGTTTGCGCCTCGGAGGCTATCAATATTCTGGAGAGCGGCCAGGGCAACAAGTTGCTGAAGGAATTGAATGAGAACGCGGCCGTGTTTCGAAACGTGGTTCTGACGGCCCCTCAGGCAATCGAGGTCAGCTCCGACGCTGGATCTCCGATCTTGCACCTTCGTTTCCCCAAGAGCGCGTTGGCTGCTGTCGGAGTGACCACTAGGGATGAGGAGAAGTTTTTGCTTCAGGAGGTTGTTGACGAGGTAAGGGAGTGCTTTTATTTGTACTTTGCACTCTAAAAAGTTGACTTTTTTAGTTTCAGTCGTTCTCGTTGCTGATATGGGATTTGTAAACGCTTTGTGTAGGTTGCTGTCAAGGATGGTATCATGATCACGAGGGCCAAGTATGTCGAGCACCAGGAGAAGTTCTTGCCACGACCATCGATCCGTATTTCCATGTCTTGCAGCCATAGCCGCAAGGAGGTCGAGAAGGCAGCACAGGCTGTCAAGGCTGCTTTTGCCAAGGCCGCGTCCAAGCACAAGTGAACGCATTATTCTTCTTCCTTCAATGTATCCATGCGCACTCTTCTTACTACGTACCTATATACTTAATATCTAATCGCGGTGGAGCCAGCTTGGAGGTAGTCCTTAGTTAGCACTTTATATCTTTCATTCCGACACACCAGATAATAAAATACGTGATATCTATTGCTGTATCTCAACTTTGCTATGCTTGATATGCCGGTGAATTGCATGGCGTCTTCCCCGTCCAGGAATGAAATACGTATTTCGATTTGTGTCCCCTCCCCACGTTATAACGAGCATTGCTTCATACTCTTTATACCACATGAGTTCATCGTAGCCAACTTGAGGGAACGAATAGGTTGCGACGAGAACAATTACTAATCTATGGTATGCAGCTGAGCAGGTTAAGGGAGCTTAGATCGCTGGGAGGTTTGGCGCCGCCGTTTGATGAATAATCAATTTCTTTTTCTTATGCTTAGAAAAGTGGAATTCACTGAGAGCGAGACACGTAGAGATCGGAGAGCTACATGGCACGATAATGTACTTTGACGTGTCGATCCACGAGAAAAGTTTAAGGTATCCTCCGCAGCTGCTGCAGTGCGGCGCCTTTGTCAATTGCCCCTTTTCTTTTCTCTTTTTTGGATCACAAACAGAAACGTATAAATAACTATCTCTCTCACGTTCTTCACAGAATATCTGTACCTCCAAAGTTTCACAGATCGAGAACAATGACCAGCCCCTCCAAGCCGCACTATCGCTTCTTCCAGACAGAGTCCTCGAACGAAGAGAACTCACGGATTCTAGATGCGGATCACAACGATGTGGAGTACGAGATCCTGTACTTTCAGATTTCGTGCGTCGGTGCTACTTCACGCTCTATTCTTGCGTACGGCAAGGCCAAGTGGACCAACCGGTTCCCACAGGTAAACCCCCCCCCCCCCTTTTGTGCGTGTGAGGAATGGCTTTTTTAAGAAGAGTTTTTGTGTATTGACCGCGCTATTTTGCTTTTTCTACGTTTTGCACAGGAGTGGGAGGGGAACGAAGAATTCGAGACACCCTTTCGAGCCATGCCCATCCTCACCGTCCAGTCTGTCCGTGGACAGGTACTTTTTCTAAAGGCGTCATCAAAAAATGAACCAACCCCGTTATTTGCCACCAATATTTAATCTTATTTCTTATTCCCCCCCTCACGAACAGGCGAAGCTCGCAGAATCGTTCGTCATCGATTTGTACCTGGCCAAGAAGTTCGGGCTCCTAGGCTCGAACTCCTACGAGGAAGCGACCATCCAAGCCTTTTACTCCTCGATCCACTACCTCCGCGAACGGTCCCTTATGACCATGACCTGGGTTGATGCGGACAAGCGTCTCGAAGCTTTCCAGATGTGGACCACCAAAGTCATCCCACGCTTCATTAAGATCCAAGAGCAGCACCTTGAGCGTAACGGATCCAATGGACACTTTTTTGGCGATAAGGTAATACATCCAAAAAAAAAGAAAAGAAAAAGCATAAAAAAAAAGAAAAAAAAAAAGAGGGGAGTGAAAACCGCGCTCTCTTGTATAGTTTTCTGCATTTCAGTTCTTGACAACTTCCCTTGCTTCGTCTTGATACAGATCACGCTAGCGGATATCCATTTAGTCGGCGTTCTCGATCACTTTGCAGAACTCCCCCGCGGCGACGAGATCATCAACCTCTTCCGTCAATCACCTCTGCTCTGGAAGGTTCGCGAGACCGTCCTTACGAACCCAGATATCGCTGCCTGGAGACAGTCTGAAGAATTTGCCAAGGTGGTCGAAGGTGGCAAGAAGCTTTATTCCACCGCAGGATTTTGAATGCTTCAAAAATGAAAACAATAATCTACAGCTGAATTTTAGCCACCACATAGAAACCTTCATCGTTTTTTCTTTATTATTACAGTCAGACTAGGGTAAATGTAAAAAAAAAAAAAAGATGTCGCAGAGAAAAAGGTTGCGCCTATTCATTATCGGAAGGGGGGTATTTTGCAGAAGGCATAGACGATTTCAATGCGATAGATTTTGCAGATGGCGATGGAATGATAGAGTTGGGAATATCGATACGATCGCTCCTTTGACTTCAGAGCGCTCAAACGAAAGTGACCCTCTGATGACAGATGAAACGCTCCACAGCCTGCTGTTGGGACCTTACTTGTCAGTAGCGGATATGAGTGAACCGCATGTCCGATTACTCAGAACGATTCAAGCGCAGGATGCCATCAATGTCTTGATCGTCTTTGGAGTGCTAGAGTCGTTCAGGTGCTTCGTGTTGAACTTGAGCGCAGACAGCAGATTTGGTGTGTCGCTCGAGTTACCGTGTGAGTGAATGGCCTTGACCGAGGACTTGATGTTGATCGGTGAGCTCTTGATGAAGGCGCCCTGAGGGTCAATGTGATCATAGATGATGATCGCAATCACCATCACCCGGAGACAGAATGCCGTCGTCTCTGGCCGCTGAGGCTTCTTCTTGTTGTTGACAGTGTTGTAGCAAACGCCCGCCAACGTTGCCAGACACTCGGAGACGCTCCGGCCGACGTGATGTCTTGCCACAAAGTCGGTTGTCACCTCCGTCACGGTCTTCAGCATCGGGGTCGGGTAGGCGTAAAACATCGAGATCTGGTTCGCGAGCTCATCCTCGTTGATCGCCGACTTCAGATCTCCCTCGTTCGACAGCTTGCCTCGCGAAAGGCACCTCCGGTAGTACGAAAAGTCATTCTGGATCTGAGGCGTCCTCATCTTCAGAGAATCAAACTCAAACACAAAGTCCAAGAGCCGGCACAGAATCCTTGCCAACGTTTGGTGCTTCTCCAGATTTTTGTTGACATCGCCAATACAAAGCGTCTGAAGGATTTGCGGCAGGCAGTTTTCTATGGTGTCAAAAATATGGGTGGTTAGATTTCTGTTGCCGCTCAGATCTTGCTGAAAGTAAGGTTATAATAAAATCGCTGCTAACAAAACTCAACTTACCGATGGAAGTCGAGTACTGGTAAAACATCTTCAATTTTGCAACCGCCGGTCGGACATGGTTCCATGCCTCGGCCTCGGACTCTGGAGATGCATCGCCAATGGCCTAAAATTGACAGTTGAGGAGGAGGAAGTGGGGATGAGTACTTCTTCACATGATAATGTGATATTCGGTGTATGTGGGCATTGTCATCCTGTTGAAATCCTGCAATCCTGCAATCCGATTTGTGGGGTTGAAGTAAGAGATGCGCAAACAACCTGCTTTGGAATCTTGTCCCCTCCCATGCTGCATTGTTGTCAGCTTGTCGTGTGTCTTTGCATGAATCGATTGTTGGTTTAATGACACACCAAAAAAAAAAAAAAAAAAAAAAGCTTTGTTGATACGATTGAGCATCGTTCACAGTGTGCTCCAAGAGAAGATGCACCCACGCCGTTTGTATTCCATAACGGTCGGAATAGGACAACAACAAAGAGCTGTCGTCCAATGGCTGTCCTTCCTTTTTTTCACCCCTTACTTTTCCAAATTGGTTTTTCACAGATAATGCAGAATCGAGCGAGTAAACGAACGACGCAGCATCATATTTTAAGCATTATCCAGCTTTGTCCCGGGCTGGGTGCGTGTGTTTCCTTCACCCATGTTTGGGCCTCCCGACAGATGTTTTCCTGTTCTGTCCATGATGTCCTGACACGCAAACTCCCATGCGCCTGTGCATTTGTCAGTAGGTAGGACTCAAGAAGAGAAATGCGGGGGAAAAAAAAATACAGCGCTTTGACGTACCCGACGAATATATTCTCCACAGCCTTCGTAAGTCCTGAGTTGCTCCAAAATTTCCACAGTTGGCTCCAACATAAGAAGTACGTTCGAGTACGACTCTGTATCCTCGTTTGCCAATGACGAATCTAATCGCAAAAAAAAAAAAAAAAAAAAGATAAGACAAGACAAGTGTTAGTTAGTTTACCATCTTTGACCTAGGTACATTGAGGACTATTGCTTTTACAACTTACTTTCAAGGTCGAGATGTACCTCCGGTACACTTGAGTCGCTATCCTTCCCGGCGAGGACATTAAATTGAGAGAGAAAGTTACCCATCTCGTATTGAGTGTGTGTCTTGTGTTATAAATGCTATCGTGGGGCAATAGAGGAGGCCGTAGCTCAGGACGGGAAGCTGAGAGGAGATGGCTGTGAAGACTGTGTGTAAGAGGGATAGAAGGATTAGTGAACTTAGCAATGAGAGAGAGGTTAAATGCAATTTCCGCAGAGCTTGCCAGGGGTGGTAAACGGAAGGAAGGGGCCACCAGACATACGGTCGTGCACTGGTGCAGTTGTATATAGATTACTCGGAGTATAAAATAAGGACGAGGGCAAAGCCAAAAAAATAAAATAAAAAAAGGAAAGAAGGGGACGTGAGCAGCTGCCAGATGGGCTGGCTCAAGGCTGGTTTGGGTTCTTCGCGAGATAGTAATTGGGAGAAGGAAAGCGGGTGTCGGGTGTTCACGAAGATGGTTTTACACTTGCAGCAGACAACGACGCAGAAAGAAGTAAAAGGAAATGAATGGCGAGGAGGTGGAATGGACGCGAAAGAGGTGTGAGCTGTAGACTGTCTAGGTCGAATCAGCATTTGCTCTCTCTTTTCTTATGCTGTCAGTTGGGAAATGAGGCGATATGGTGCTTCATGTTCAAAGTGTGACAGGAACGAAATCACTCCATTCATTTGAAGGAATAATAGTGCAAGGGCGTTCTGGAAGGGTCCTTTTTTTCTTTTTTTTTTCTGCTAAGAAAAACAAGCCAAAAGGAGACAATACGCAATACAGAGAAAATAAAAATAAGGCAGGGAAGGACAGGGAAGGGCAAGAGAAGCCGGTTCCTGCTGGTGCTGGGCTAGTGAACTCACAGTGTGCAATTGTGGAAGGGAGAGGAGAATTAGGATGGTTAAGGAAAGAGTTGGGGTCGAGGGGGGAGGGGAATGTGAAGAGAGAAGGAAAGAGGGTTGGTTGGTTTGTAAGTACGAGGTGTGGAATGAGATGAGGACGAGGAAGGATGATGATCAAGAGATGAGGATGAGGATGCGATGAAGAGGAAATGTTTTTTTAGCCCGCCAAGGACCTTTAATAATATTCTCTGGCTCACAGACAAGGTCTCGTGCCTGAAATACTCTCTCAAGATCTTTCATTTCTCACTCGTACCTCCCGATTCTTATATATCGGGGACACTGCCCATCCACGCAGCCCTCTCCCAGCGATTCATCCAAAGACAATTTATTGTTTTTCTATGTCCATGGGCCAACGTGCTGTTCCCCCTTGTTTGGTTCGCCGGCGTTGCTTGACAGCCCTCTATATCTCCACACATCACATTTTATGCAGTGGGTCAAAGAGCATTCGGCCCTGTGTCGCCGGCATCTCTTCCAGCGCCTAGGCCTCCTCCCCAGAATCTTACAAACCAACATCGCCGACAACACACATGTACATCATTGGGAGAGGCGCTGCTGGACGCTTTGTCCTCAAGGTCATTCGTTCGCGAAGTCGCGCCATGTCTATTAGCGTATTATTCATTCGTAAATAAATTGACTTCGCCCAAAGGGTCATCTCTCCCTTGACAAGCCTAGGTATGCAGTAAAATGAGTTGTACCACCAACCAAAGCGGAGATTTTTATTATTTTAGCCATGGACGATGACAGTGCCACATCCACCATGCCAGTAAAGGGAGCATGAAGGCTTAAATGGCATGCACGGGTATATTTGTATAGGAGCCACCAAGCCTAGTCCCTCTGCCACTACAGCCATGAATGTGAACGCGAGCACGTTTACTCAGAATCTGCCTGAGCTCTAAACCCTAGGACATCCAGTTTTGCATGGCTATATATTTGTATATATGTGCTACCCTCACAAAAATCGTCCTTATCATCCCAGGATTGCTTACAAGTACATGGAGACCAGGCCTCAGTGGGAGCTTTTTGCTCCTCCTGGGCGCCATCCTCCTCCAGTGCCTTGTCATGGATGGCTGTCCACAATGTCCGCTGTGAGGAATAATACCCCATAGCCACCAAGGCAAAGGTGACTCAGGTGACTGTCTGGATTATTCAGTTTACTCACTTTGGATCGCAACGCTCATTGGCTCGCCTTATCTTCATTCATGTATGTTCTGTTATAAAGGGCCGAATCTTTTTCTCTCTTCTACCCTCCCTTCTCTACGTCCTTACATCGACATCTTTTCCCTTTCCCTTTCTCTCAAGTCCCATACAGGAGGTTTACAGAACACCAATGACTCCAGAATCATCGTCATTACCAGCCGCTACAGCTGAGCAGCCCGGACAGGCAAAGTCAGCCTATGTGCCCCCTTATGTCCGCACCTCTCCATTACCATCGGACGACCTCGCTAGCGATCAGCCAGACTATCTCCGTCTCATCCTCACGGCCCGATGCTACGAGATCCTCAAGCAATCCCCCCTTACCCATGCCGTCAACCTCTCGAACCGCACCCAGAACAACATCTACCTTAAGCGCGAAGATATGCAGGACGTTTTCTCCTTCAAGATCCGCGGCGCCTACAATAACATGGCCCACCTCTCCGAGGAAGAGAAGCGTCGTGGTGTGATTGCATGCTCTGCAGGAAACCATGCCCAGGGCGTAGCGTTGGCCGCCAAGATGATGGGTGTCAAGGCCACAATCGTCATGCCAACGCCCACCCCAGAGATCAAGTCCAGGAACGTGTCACGGTTAGGGTCAACGGTGATCTTGCATGGCAAGAACTTTGATGAGGCCAAGGCGGAATGCGAGCGATTGACACAACTGCAGAATTACACAAACATCCCGCCGTTCGATGATCCCTATGTGATTGCAGGACAGGGAACCATTGGCGCCGAGATCCTGAGGCAGCACAATTTGGACGAGATCGATGCCATCTTTTGCTGTGTCGGTGGTGGAGGATTGATTGCAGGAGTTGCCGCCTATGTGAAGAGGGTGGCACCCCATATCAAGATTGTCGGATGTGAGACCGTGGATGCAAATGCGATGACACAGAGTCTGAGAGCCGGAAAGCGTGTAGCCTTAACGGATGTGGGGCTGTTTGCGGATGGAGCGGCAGTCAAGGTCGTAGGAGAGGAGCCATTTAGACTGTGCCAGAGCTTTGTGGACGAGATGATCGAGGTCACTAATGACGAGGTAAGCACATATCTTTTGCGGGCAATCTCTATCTCTATGACACACAACTAAGAATGTCCGAATTATTTTTCATGTGTAGATCTGTGCCGCCATCAAGGACATTTTCGAGGACACACGCTCCATTGTCGAGCCCGCTGGCGCATTAGCCGTTGCAGGGTGCAAAAAGTATCTTCGTGAACACAACTTGACCAACAAGACCTGCGTAGCCGTCGCTTCAGGCGCCAACATGAATTTTGAGCGACTCCGTTTCGTAGCTGAGCGTGCCTTGCTGGGTGAGCAGAAGGAGGCCTTGCTTTCGGTCGTCATCCCCGAACAACCAGGTGCCTTCTTGAAGCTGTACAAGCGCATTCACCCACTGATGGTCACAGAATTCTCGTATCGATATGCACCCAATCGTAAGGCGCAGATTTACATGTCGTTCTTGTGTCAGGATCGCCGCAAGGAGGTACCCCAGATCATGGAGAACATCAGCAAGGAAGATATGCAGGCCTGGGATATTAGTGAGGATGAGATGGCCAAGAGCCATGCGCGATATATGATCGGAGGACGCTCTGCAGCTGCAAACGAGAGGATGTTCCGGTTCGAGTTCCCAGAGAGACCGGGCGCATTATTGGAGTTCTTGGAGGGCCTTCGCGCTGGCTGGAACGTGTCTTTATTCCATTACCGAAACCATGGCTCAGGTACGTCTCTTTTTTTTTTTTTTTTTTTGAGCTTATATAATGTACTGACGCTGGTTTCCTCGATTTTTTTTTTCTGCTGCGAATAGATATGGGAAAGGTATTGGCAGGATTGCAGGTACCAAAGGAGGACAACGAAGAGTTTGCAAAGTACTTGGCCCAGCTGAACTATCACTGGGTCGAAGAAACCGACAACCCTCTGTATAAGCAGTTCTTCTGCTAACCATAATCAACCGTGAATAAACAATTACATTTGCATGCATTCGTTTGCTTCCTTCCATGGCAGGCACACTACGGTCTATGTATTTATTCTATTTACAGCTCCTCTTTAAGCCAGCTAACAACGTCTTTCACTTTGTCTACAGCCCCGCTTGGTGAAAAGACCTCGGGGGCTTCGTCCTTAATCCTTTCGATCGCTAAATCTAGTCCCTTCTCGTCGTATCGTTGACCCTCCATGCCGACTCCGAGCGCTGTCAAGGACAGCGATGGACCTCCAAGAGCGTTGTCCATAGAGTCCAGGTCGACCTGAATGATTTTTCCTTCCTTGGACGTAATCGATACATTCTATTTTTTTTTTTTTTTTTTTTTTTTTTTTTTGGCAAAAGCAGAAACAATTTAACAAATGTCAACGAAAAGCAAATGTGGATAGTGAGAGAAAGCAACATCGTCCAACCTACCACAGATCCCCATGAAAAAGCCTTCTCTAGTTTGTACGTGAACTCTGGTGTCTGTCCATACATCCATTCCCAAGTCTTCATATCATCTCGAATGGTCTTGACCCCCTCCATTCTGTCGATCATCGCCTCATCGACCGCTATAGGTTCGCCTTCCAGGTTCTGTTTCCATTGATCAAATGCATAGTGCCTTAGGAACTCTGTCCTAGTCTGCTCACAGAACGACAGATGGCCAATCGTGAACGAGGACTCTCGTAACCGGGTTACGGGCGATCGGACAGATGCCACGCCCTTGGTCACCAGGCTGGCTCGATCGACTTTGAGATACTGTCCCAGACTTGAGAGGTCCGTATCGATGAGCATGGTTCCGTGGTGGTAGGCTCGACGTTGGATCAATTTGAAGGCCGATCCTGAGACGTAGAGTGGGCGACGACATAATGAAGCAGCACAACAAGAAGGAAGAAAGCGTGAACGCTTGTTAGATTGACTTTGGAGAAAAAATCTAGTAATGAAGTCTCAAAGTCGACCTTGAAATTACATATCTTTTTGCCGTCCAATGTGATGTCATGCCGCTCGTTGACAATTGCGGGTATGTCAAGCTCCTGCAATGCGCGACATATCAACTCGACATTGGTCCGGCGGTCAAAAACCTCCCTCGGCATCATGATCGAGTAGTTTGTGTTTCCCAAATCCTATTCCATAGGTTGTAAAATCGTTATATTCAGAATAAAGATCCCGTTGATCCATTTTAACTCTTGTCCTGAAAATGCTTTGTTTACATGGTACACGGTGCCTCCGCCGCTCTTGCGCCGTACAAATGGAACTCCATCACGCGCCAGCAGCTTCAAATTACACTCCTTCCAAGGGTTCTAGAGCGACATGTCAAAAAAAAAAAAAAAAAAAGGAAGAAAGAAAAAGAAGTGGGGATAAGGAGTCAGTGGCAGGTGTCAATTGCGCTACAGGAGTGCTTATTTTCATAACAACTTTCTCTTTTTACATACCTGATTTCTTCCAATGATGACAGATTTGGAATTACGGTACAGAAATAGGATATAGGTCTCTGGATCCGAGTTTCTAAACAGCCTGTAGCTCAAGAGTGTCAATATGAAGTTGCGGTAAAATTTCCTCCGACGATCGATGGATCGTCAACCGTACTCGTGATATGAAGCGGATATCGAAGGGGAGGTTTCTGTACGCACCATTCTTCAAACGCAAGGTTGGTCCAGGGATCGTTGACCTTGGAGATATAGGTCTCCACCTGGCAGCAAGTTGGAGCAATTGAGAGCAGAGGGCAGATCAGAAACACGTTGCCAAGTTGCTTGTATAAGCGCAGGGCCTTCCAGTGCCTCTCTCCATGATGGTTACTTTGTAGTTGCCAGGGACATTCTTATTGGATGTTGGCGTCTGCGAACCTGTTCCTGTTCCAGATCCTGTTCCTGACTGTTGCACTAGTCTTGAAATCGAGAGATGTCGTACGCCCAAGGCATGTCGCAGTGCTGTGAATGAGGGTTCCGCGCAGGAGATGACTGGATTTGCTGTCCTGGAGGCATGGCGGCCCAGCGGAATGAAGAATAGTGATCGCTGGTGGAGCATGAGTCTGGTCGCGGCGAGTAGCAGAACAATGGAGTGGACTTAGTGGCAAGAAGATCAGCTCTCCAGCTTTTTTTTAAATTATTATTTAACCTTGTAGCCCGCCTGTGATATGACAATTCGCCGCGTTTAGGACACATCTCCTTTATTGTTGATGTTTTATCATAAAGACTCAAACGATCTCTACAAAACCATCGGTATTCGGCTCATCCGAGAGCGGGACTTTGGTCTCTTGGTGTCCGAAAAAGATCACCGTAACTATCGAGCAAAAAGTAAATAAAGCATCTATCAATAAGTACCTGCAAGAATGTGCATAGTCGGTCGTGTGCAAGCAACCGCGACGCACTTACCTGTAATGTCATCGCGATAGACGCGACTCATGGGTGCAGGGATCGACAGTGTGGCAGCAAGCTTCTCTTCATCCCCACCTCCCAAGGCATTCCTAACCAAGTGGGTCGACGCATTGGACTGATCCTTGAATGTGAACTGTCGGACTTGACTTGTGGGGCCCTTTGGTGGCAAGTTGGCCGGTGTCAATTCCTCTTCCTCCTCGCTCTGGTCACCCTTCTTTCCTATAACAACTCCCTTGATCGCCTTTATCTTGTCCGTGAGTTTCTTCATCTCTCCCCGGTCAAGGACCGTTTTCTCTTGACCTATCTTGCCGTCGAGAAGTTCACCAACGAGTTGGATCACCTCATCAGAAGTCAGCTTGTCCCAGAGTCCATCGGTCGCCATGACCAAGAATCGATCATTAGGTCCAATTTTGTGGTGCTTGACCACTGGTTTAGCGGTAACATATGGCGGGGTATGGTAGTTGCGATGCGGTTGGCGATAAGAGGGGAATAATTGGAAGACACGCTCCTGGATATCAAGCGACCACTTATACCGTGCATCTCCAAAGGCCCTTGTTGGCTCTAAAACATACTCATAGAGACCAATCGTTAGTGCTTTGAATTGAGCAATATGAACGACGTTGCAAACAATCATGGTGAGTGCACTTACCGAGACCACCAAGGACACGTCCGCGCATCACGACGGTGGTCTCTTCGCCAGGATGTTCCTCCTGCAGTCTCCTGACCTCCCAACGATTCCTACCGGTCTGATCAAAGGAGAGCGGTACAGCCTTCCACGAATGCCCATCTTTGCTTGTCGCTGACGGTTCGCAAACGCCCAGGACAGCTCGAGAGTCGCCTGTGCAGGCTACATACAGGTCTTTCTCCTTTGCGTCCACGTAGGCCATCAGTGCGCAAGACCCCGAAATCGCAGGCAACAGACTAGAGCAAGCCAGGGGCCTCGAGGGATACTCAAGGACTCGCTTCACAGTCTCGTTCACAATCTTGTCATCCAGCTTCAGGAACCCGTTTTCGATCGCCTCCATGACTGCCATCACATCGTGCGGATCCTTGATGTTTTCCAACTCTGATGCAACCGAGGGCGCCAGCTCCTGTGCAACTTTCTGACTGCAGCACCAGCCTCCATGGCCATCAAAGATACCAAAGAAGACCTTTTCAATCTCTCCATCCTTGCCTCTGATCACATGGCGCGACAGATCATCCTCAATTGGGTTGTTGGAAGCGACCTGGTTGATGCAATAGCCGAGGATCAGGTCCTGCTTAGATTTGTTTTTGCGGTCTTCTTCCTTAGTGATGACCCTGTGCGATCTCTGGTTCTGAGACAGACGCTGCTCAACCTGCTCAGGTGTAAGCATCTTCAATTGCTTTTCGAATCTTGGTTCACCCGAGAATGGCGAGAAAGAGCGGAAAGAAGAGGTGGGCGAGGATGGATCAGCAGTGGGTGAAGGTCCAGGTGAATTGGTGAACGAAGCCCTGGCGAATGAAATATCCTCTTGGAGTTGAACTAGCTTTGCGCTCCAACCCGATGGCGAGGTTGCGACGTTGTAGGTGCTGACTCCTACGACTGTAAGAACGGCTCCGGCAGCGAAGGCTCGGAAGGCGGCTCGTTTGGAGTCAAGTATATGGTGGAACCAGGGATTGGAACCAGGGAACTGTTGATGGGACTGGTGGTGCTGACTGTGGCCGCCCTTGTGTTGAAGTCGCTCGTAATAACCGTGTTTCTGAGTTCCTTGCTGCTGCTGGTTCTTGATCAGAGGAATGACTCGACTGACATTCGGTGAGGTAGATGCTGAGTTTGATGATGATGAAGACGGCTGGGCAGAGACGTTCTCGCTCTTGTTAGGTGGGAAAACCTCTTGTTTGTGCTGTTGGTTCTGTTGCTGGCTTCTTTTCGGGCGAGCAGCTGTAAGCGTGGACCGGATGCGACTCTTGGAGGTGGTCGAGGTGGAGAAGAAGGAAGGCGACAAGCTGACACCAGGCCTTGAACAAAGAATCGTAGCAGGTGTCCCACGACGGGCAACTGTCTGCAGAGCCGAGAGCCGAAGTGACATTTTAGGCCTGGTCTAGGTGCAATAGGGTATTTCACTCTGCCGAGTTCTACAAATGGTCGGGTTCCCAGTCCTGCTGTCGTTGTCGTAGCAGTGGGGCTGATTCCTGTAAAGGTGTTCTTGATCCTGGTTGTAAAGGAGTTTGCCAAAAAGGAAGAAGCGCGAAGTCTTAGCTCCTTAGTAGTTTTTTTTTTTGCTTCCTAAAGGACTGGCTTCAAACAAGGGGTCCCATTGGACGCGTTCCCACAAAAGGAGATTTTGCTCCTCTGGGAGTTCAATATCACACTCACTTGGTAATGGTTTCTAAGTTTTTTGCTTTTTTTTATTTTATATTATGATTAGAATATGCGAATGCTCTATGTTGGTGCCGGATCAAGTTCATGGGGACAGAGCGGGCTGCTTAACCATGTCCCTGGATCGAAAATGCTGGATATGATGATGATGACAATAGTGAGATGATAGTTGAAAGCAACAAAGAAAAGAAAATGATAAATAGCGAAAAAGAAAAGAAAAGTAATGTACAGTGAAGATGTCGAAGTTGCTGAAGGTAGAAAAAAGAGGTCCGCCAACTGTCCAGTGTCCTGCACCCAATGTCCAATTGATCCTGGTGTTTCTTTACAAGGCAGCCAAGTGGCTCTGGAGGTCACCGGCGGCCGCCAAGATGAGACCCATGAAGGGAGCCGAGGGCTTCAAGGGACGGGTCAAGTACTCAGGATGGTACTGGACACCTAAGAAATACGGGTGATCAGCCAGCTCGACAATCTCCATACGCTGGCCAGTCTCGTCCTTGCCGACAAATTTAAGACCCTCTGCCTCGAACTTCTCAATGAGCTCAGGGTTGATCTCATAGCGATGACGATGGCGTTCCAGCACGGTCAATCCGCCTCCGTACAACTTGCGGATAGCCGAATTCTCAGTGCCGGGCTGGAACTCAGTGGGACGGGCGCCCAAACGCATGGTGCCTCCGAGGTGTGTCTTGCTGATCTCGGGCATATAGACGACAACAGGCGTAGAGGTGTTCTCGTCCAGCTCGATCGAATTGGCGTCAGGCATGCCACAGATGTTGCGGGCAAACTCAATGACAGCAATCTGAAGACCCAAGCAGATACCAAGGTAAGGGATCTTTTGTTCGCGGGCCCATTTGGCGGCAGCAATCTTGCCCTCAACACCACGATTGCCGAATCCTCCGGGAACCAAAATACCCTGGGCGGAGCAAAGGTCATGCCAGGCCTCGTGGTACTTGACAGGGCTGACGGTACGGGTCTCTGGCTCCAGATCCGAGGCTTCAACCCACTTCATGATCAGCTTCTTGCGGCAGTTCAAGCTGGCATGCTCCAAAGCCTTGACAACTGAAGCATATGAATCCTGAAGGTTGGTGTACTTGCCAACCAAGACGATGGTGACGGTATCGTGAAGTCGCTCCTGAGCAGCGGTCAATTGGTTCCACTTGATCCACATATCGGCTCCCTTAATCCTCAGCGGCTCGGTGATGCGAATGGTCTTCTCAATATTCAGACGCTTCCACAGAAAATCAATCAATCCCTGGTCCTTCAATAGCTCGGGCACATGGTAGACAGAGCTGCAATCGCGGACAGCCAAGACCTGATTGGGCTGGACGTGGCAAAACATGGAGATCTTAGCCTGGATACCATCATCCAATCCGGTCTTTTCGCAGCGGCAAGCAATCAAGTCGGGGGAGAGACCCAGTCCACGGAGATCGCGGATGGAGGCCTGGGTAGGCTTCGTCTTTTGCTCTCCTACGGATCCAATGGTGGGAACCAAGGAGACATGGATCAACGCAAAGTTTTCATGGCCGACGCGGAACTGGAACTGACGCATGGCCTCGACGAAGGGGGCGGACTCAATATCACCAACGGTGCCACCGAGCTCGATAATGCAAACATCGGGCTCCTCGCCAGAGTCGTCGACGGGAATGGTGGCAACGCGCTCGACCCAATCCTGGATGGCATCTGTAATGTGAGGGACAACCTGAACGGTTTTGCCGAGATAATCGCCCTTGCGCTCACGCTCGATGACATCCCTGTAGATCTTGCCGGTAGTGATATTGTTGGACCGGGTCAAGGTCACATCGAGGTAGCGCTCGTAGTTTCCAAGATCGAGGTCGACCTCGCCGCCATCGTTCAAGACAAAGACTTCGCCTGCAGATGATTGCGACAAATATAAAAAATATAGCTGTTGGTAAACTGCAGACATCTCGCTGCTGCACGCTGACATACGTACAAAGCATACACACATGCATGACTGCAACAGCAACAGTAAAAAAGATGCTTGAGACTAGAGCAGCCAGCAAAGTAAAAAGGGCTTCTTCATGCAACAAGAGCCGAATGTAAGACAGAATGTAATTACCATGATCGAGGGGAGAGAGAGTTCCAGCGTCGATGTTGAGGTAAGGGTCAATCTTGATCGAGGTGACCTTGAGACCCATAGTCTTGAGCAAGAGACCAGTCGAGGAGGCGATGATGCCCTTGCCAATGCCCGAGATGACACCTCCGGAGACGAGAACGTACTTTTTGACCATGATGAGAGAACCAGATAGGGAGGGAAAGAGACAGAAAACAAAGAAGAGGGACAGGAAGACGTTTTATTTGGGCCACTTCAAAAGAAGGGAAAGAGCCAATGGTTCTCGACCAAGACGCCTTTTTATTAGAGGACAAGACAACCCACGCAAGTCACTTTGTTTATTTATGTTGATACTTTTTTTTTTTTGAAGTCAGCACCAGCAAACACATTCACGTACTCGAGCAAATACGTCCACAGCGACACCTTCACCATTGGCACGTCCGCCTTGGTCTGGTGGAGGGAGGACCGAGGATGGGGCCGAATTAGAATGAGTACAATAGTTGTATGCAATGCATACTGTACAAAAAGACAAAAAGAAGATAAAGGCGGATTGAAATCCTGATCTGCACTTAATCTTCTTGTCTCTTCCCCAATGCTTGGTTACCACTGTCTTCTCGTCCTTGCCCTGCTGATGGGACAAAGTCCATCAATATCGACTACATCTGCTATAAATTCAGCAACAGCAGCAACAGGGATGAAGCTTCCTACTCTTCAAAGATTATGCGCAAACCAGATGGGCATGTGTACAGTGTCCTGTCAGAGCAAAGTACAGGAAAACACATGGTAAGGGAATATATATGTTGTATTAATGATCATAGACAAAGAATATCATACTAAGAACTGTCCTCTATGGCTCACTCCGATAGCGATGCTGAGACACTACAATGGACTTGCGCTTGCCGACCGGACACGACCAAGGGGTTCAAATATTGGCAGTTTCCGATTCCGTTTCAACTCTGCCGGAAGCAGTTCGCTTCGTGTTTGCGGTCGTGTCAGAGTACTCAAGCGAGACTAATTGAACAGGAGCAGAAGATGCATCGTCCAGCCAACAAGAGGACATTGCGTCAGCGATCTCAACGCGACGATCTATTTCAGGATATGGATGCTTTCATTGGCGAGGATGAATTGGAGTCAATGGACGAGATGCGGCTGTGGCGGCATATCTCCAAAGTACAGGTAGCTGAAGTTTCGCGAGGAGCAAAGCAGCAGAAACGCGCCAATCTGCACCAGAAACAGGAAACTAAACAGGTAGCCTCATACAAGCATTACCAGAACAAGAAGAAGAGGCACAACCAAGAAGCGAAAGCTCGTAGGAGGCACGACAGGGTGATGGAGCAACATGATGCTGACTCTGATGAGAAAGGGGACCATAATGCCGAGGACAACGACGGGTTGTTCGAGACAATGGCGTTGGATGGCCCTCCGGTCGGGAAGAATACTGCGTGTGTGAGTCAGTGCAGGCGACAGTATGCATGTGGGACATCCAGGGCTCCGCTTTATCAGAACCTGAGGGCCTTTGTTGCAAATAGTGATTCAGCGAAGGATGGGAATGGTCGGGCCAAGGAGTTGCAGAGTGGTGCATGTGTTAAAAGAAGACCTGGTCACAGATCGTATGAGAGACTGAGACTTGCATGCAGCTGTGCTGTTGCATTGGTTGCAAGCGTCCTACTTTAGTTCTTCGTGCCTGTGTAGCGCTACTCGACTCTCAATGGGTAATAAACTCCCCCACCCCTCCCCCCCCTGCAATTACCTCCGAGAAATAAGGTTTTGGTTGCCTTGATATTACGATATTTTCGGACGTGCAACCAAATGGGGCGGGCGCAAACACGGCTTCATGACGGAGTGTCGTCCGCCCAATGAAATCATTTTGGAGTTGGTTCTGCGTTTTGCAAGGGACCTCGGAGTGGCTTGGGCATCTTCCCGTTTGTCCGGCGTTTCTCCGAATGCTTTTCTTCCTCTTCTCCCTTCCTTCTCTCTCTCTTCACCACACTCTTCTCCTCTCTCTTTACCCTTTTCCACCCACCCACCCACCACACACAACTACTATCACAATGGGATTTGCCGCCGGTGACGCTGTTAACGGTAAGGGAATCGACAGCAGGAAGACTGATCAGTCCTTTCGGACCAGCAACCAGAACGAATGAAAGCGCGCGACAACAAAGCAGCAGCAACTACGCTTCGATCTTTCTGAAGCAGATTCTCCGAACCATCTGATCACGGTGTCTTTCCTCATCACTGACTCTCCCTTATCCTTTCTGTTCCGAAAACTAATAGGAGCCAAGCTCTTCAAGACCCGCTGCGCCCAGTGCCACACTGTCGAGGCTGTAAGTATTTTTTTTAATACATATAGTCGCACTTATTTATACCAAACAACAAGCAACTATTGCGTTGTAGCGTTCAATTGGCTTGTATGAATGGCGTCTCACTATCTATCTTTACTGGCTCCGATTTTTCTAATTAGGGTGGTGCCAACAAGGTCGGCCCCAATCTGCACGGTATTTTCGGCCGCAAGTCCGGCCAGGCCGCCGGTTTCTCGTACACCGATGCTAACAAGAACAAGGGTGTTACCTGGTCTGAGGAGACCATGTTCGAGTACTTGGAGAACCCCAAGGTAAATGGCATAGCATTTCTTCCCGTGGTTTCCCCTTCCCTCCGAATGGGTGTTTATTTTCTGGATCGAGGGTGTTATTGACGTCACGATGCACTATGATTATATGTTCCTTGTGTTACGACCTTACACTTACCAACGCTGCATCTCGTTCGTTTGCCAATCCATAGAAATACATTCCTGGCACCAAGATGGCCTTCAACGGCTTCAAGAAGGAGAAGGAGCGTAACGATGTTATCACCTACCTCAAGGAGAACTGCTAAATCATTCGCAAGCGACTGAACCTAATATGTTCTTCACATCCTTCCACACTCATCGTTCACACACGAACACAACACACATGCTGCCTGACCATTGTTCACTAGATGTCAATTGGTGCAGTCCGTTAATATTTGCCTGATCATTAGACCGAATAAAAGAATCATTCAAAAAGTCGAATCGATACTGTTCGTAATGTACGTCTATAGAATCAAGCTATGGAGAAAGATGGCGAGTGTCGCAAGTTCGATGTCTGATGGAATCATCATGTGTATGGATACTATCCTGATCATGATGACAAGGTACACGACCGTGCAGCAACAGCAACATTGGCGTACACATGCATCTGCTTGGCCGGATCAAAATCAATAAACGAATCCTGCGCATAAACGCCACCAACGAGGATGACTATTAAGGGTTATGCGACTTTGTATTATGTGTGAAAACATTTAAGTTGACCGGGCAACTCAGGTTAACTCATTTTGAAACTTAATAATGTCCACTCAAATGACGCCCTGGGTCAACTCAAATTGCGCCCAAAAATAAAGGCAGACTGGATCATCCATCCCATTCCATTTATTCGCTTTTATGGACAGCGCCAAGCTCAGCATCAGCCTGATCTTCTTCGCCTGGGGTGAGTGTAGCTCCGTTGATGCATATCTCCTTGAAGTGGTAGAACATGATGCTGCTACGTTTTGATCCATATTTCGATGAAGGATAAAGCGCATGTTTCCTCTTTCAATCTTGTAGCGGCAAGTGCGGCATGCTAACAGAAGACCTTTCTTTCCCACAATATCCATGGAAAGCCCATCTCGATAGTAAATTCTCCTGCGCAACGGTACCTGTTGGCGTGTGGCCCGGAGGGTATGGGAAACACAGTATCGGTATTGATGCCCTTGCCCCGCCAGTCGATGTACTCGGCTTTGACGTCTTCCTCCTCTTCGCTGGCATCGTTGATATTGTCCTTCTTCGTATCCTCCTCTTCACTGGCGTCTTTTATGGAGACGTTGCGTTGTCGGTATTATTGCACCACTGTAGATCAGGCGCTCTTTCGAAATTCGGCCAGTTCTCCACTCGGGGGCTCGCATCAATAACGCTCTGGCTCCCGTCCATTGCTGCCCAATCTAATGAGAACACTACACGGATATGTTCAAGGCATCGGGCTTCAAGTTGCTGTATGATTGCGCTGCTCAATGGCGTACGATCATTGCAACCGAATAATATTTATTGGATCCCTTTGCAAAGGACTGTCTCAACCGCAGATAGTGCAACACTTCGCATGGCTGCGTGAGGTGAGAGGTGAGGTGAGAGGTGAGGTGAGAGGTGCAGAAATCGAGTAGGCGGACCTTTTATTTTTATTTTTTTATGCCTTGTGTAGTTGCTCCCGTCATTTGAGTGACGTTATTAAGGGTCAAAATGAGTTGACCTGAGTTGCCCGGGCAACTC